TGTGAACCCTAGAAACTTTCAAAATCAAAACTGAAAACCTTCATGTTTTCATCAGCCGTTGTTCTCATGCTGCACCTTCTGCGCTGTGACTGCTCAGCCTTTCACTCTGTTGCTGTTCTAAAGCTTCTTTCCGGAGTATTTCTCTTATCCGATGGCACCATCTAGTGGCTGACAAGCTTATCGCACTAAACATCTGTTGCTCTGGCGACTTCACGTTTCTGATTATAAACGTGCATCTGTAGCCGACAAACGGCTAAAACACGTCCTTTTACGAGTATTCTCATGTCATGCTGTGTTCTCACGTATTTATATGTTGGAGATTTACTTGTCCGTGAAAAGTTCATCAACTCTGCATCAGCCGAGGTATTCCTTAAACTTGAAGCAAGTTAGCGGTAGTCTAACCCCCAAATTCCACTACCTCCGCTCCGCTCCGGCACAAACGCCGGAGCAAAACCGGTCCCGTTGTAGTCAATCAGAGCAATTCCACTACTGCGGCCGTGCTCCGGCAGTGCGCCGCCCTCTGTTCCGCCGTCCGGCAAAAACCGGAATCACAACGGCCCAACAGGAAAAGGAGCATGCACAACTTCCGTTTTTCACAATAAATCGATAAACAAAAAGCGTTTTTTGTTTCATATGCACAGGTTTAACAACTTTTAACAACTATCAATGGCGGCTGAACTTTAAATGCACAAAAGGAAGCCATAAATACAGTTTCCACTATCAAAGTAGTCACACTTTGTTGATCCAAACTGCTGATCTCTCAACACAAATGATGGGCAGATTAAACAGTTCATGTCGATGCTTCTCCCACACAACGGGTGTTTGGATCTAACTTCCGCGTTTATTGCTTGGACTGTATCGCAAGATCTCGAAAATCCCGCGCATGCCTGTTTGCGCACCTCAGGTCTCCGCACCGGAGCGGAGCCGTTGTAGAGCGGGTACCAGTAAAAGTTGAGTTCGGAAGCGAGCGGCTGCGGAAGGCGGAGGCGGACCGGAGCGTAGCGGAGGTAGTGGAATTTGGGGGTAACGCTATTGGTTAGTTCTGGTCGCCGCTCAATTTCCTATTGCACGGAGTTCTGCGGGGCAGGGGGCGTGGTTAGCAAAAAAAAAAAAAGACGAACCGCTAGGGCTGCACGACATTAGGAAAACCTGCGGTATTCGATAACAGTGATTAATATTGCGATGACGATATTACTTGCGATAAATAAAAACTTAACTTGGGAACAAAAACAGAGAAATAAAAAAATCATAACGATGAGAAAAGCAAACGATGTGAGGAAAGGGGAAAAGAAAAGAAAAGGTGATCCGTGGATCCCGGGAAAAGCAGAATCACCATAAAGAGCAGAACAAAGCTAACTCGGGTGTTCGCTAACCATCAGAATTAAGTGTCGTCCGCCTCGGGGGCGGGCATCTAACCTATGAGAACCCACCTGATTGGCCAAACGGGTGAAGAGCTCTGTTTGATTTGTTAAAAACATCATGCTACCGTTTGACAGAATGCGTTATGTGTAGCAAACATCTGAGCTGACCGTTCATTGTGATATTTATCTATCTGTTCTTTGCGATATGCATATCGTGCATGCTGACATCGTGATGACGATATATTTACGATATATCGTGTAGCCCTACGTATCGCTTACATTTGATCACAGTACACGATGAGACAATCGCTTTTACACATTTCTGATGAGTCATACATCACTTCTGAAAGGGAAAACTCCGGAAAGCAGCTTTAAATAGTATTTTCTGTCACGTTGGTTTTAGTGTTCTTGCTAATGGGAAGCACATTGCATTGCCTCTGTGTGTGGTGTGCTGTAGAAATAAAGCTGCCTTGCCTTTATTCTACAGGAACACTGGAATAGTGTGGCTTAGGGATGGGTATCGAATTCGGTACTTTTTTAGGTACCAACCGAATTCCATAGTACCGACTGAGCACCGATTCACGTCATTTGAAACAGTGCCTCGTTTCGGTACCCGTCCTTCATAACGAGAACTTGCCTAGACAGCTGCGCATGCGCAAGAGCGTTATGTCGTCGGTCGCTGCGAGCGAGTTGTAAACAGAGCAGCATGGTAGAAAGAACGCACGCTAACGCTTGGGTCCACTTCACTAAATGTGATGGGTAACTGGGTGATGATGAAACCAGCGACAACGATCTAAGTGAGACATCCTCATCTTAATCTGCTCCGGTAGGTAAATAAAATGTTTAAGATAGCGTTAGCTTGATATGTTAGCTTCCGTTTCGCTAATGGTGCGTTCGCTTTCTCCTCAGAACTCCGAATTCCCAACTAGAAGAACATGAACGCGCTCTAAAGTTTGGCTTCACTTTACTAAATGCGACGGGTGATTGGGTGAAGATGAAACCAGCGACAACGATCTAAGTGTGAGGCATCATCGTTTTAATCTGCTCCAGCAGCTAAATAAACTGTTTAAGATAACGTTAGCTTGATATGTTAGCTTCCATTGCCACCGTTGTTATCAGCTAATGGTGCGTTCGCTTTCTCCTCGGAAATTCTAGCCTCCCAGTACGAAAAATCAAATGAAAAAGGACGGCAAAAGAAATGAAGATACACAGTAAATTTAGTTCACAGTAAAGATGTTTGCTTCAGTTTAATTATCAGCTTATAAAACTACAAGGACGATGTTAAAATACAAACAGTTGTATGTTATTTATCGTGATATTTATCAAATATGGTTATATATTGAGAAAAATATATATTTAATTATAAAAGAGAATTAAAAAAATAAACACTCAAAAGTATCGAAAACTGGTACCGTTAAGTACCGGTATCGATTCAAATGTCAAAGGTACCCATCCCTAGTGGCTATAAGAAAGCAGAGGTCAGAATTAGGAATATTTTATTGTAATATTAGTCCGTCTTCTTAAATGACTTTTTAAACCCAAAAACAAATCTTATTATTCACAAAACGATGATTAGATGCAAAACTGAACTTTTAACAGTTTCACCACCGTGAGTCAGAATTGTGAGTGGAAAGTGCTTTAATGGGACCTGATGTGGTTTTACACGTTTACTCACCGCCGATGTCGTCATCCTTCGTGTGTGTGTGTGTGTGTGTGTGTGTGTGGTTGAGGGGGGGTTGCACGTGACCATGGGGGGCTCGAGGCCCTTCGCTCGTTGAGTCACGGAGGACTGAATGAGCTCTTGGTCCCATAATTCCTGCTCCACTTTTCCTCCATTGTAGCAATCTCCCGTGACTAATATTCCCTCCAGGCTGAGTTCAGCTTGACCAGAGTGACTCACATCCATCACTGAGGGTGTTTGTAGCGAGCGCCTCTCCTCTGATGTTTACATCGGACTTCTGCTGTAATGGAGCGGTGTTATTCCCAGTTTGAGTTTGTAATGATTCTGACGTTTCTGCAGGGAAGCCGCTCCGCTCCGCCAGCATCACCGTCGCTCCGTACGTCCTCCACCTGGAGTTGATGCGCTGAGCGAGCGAAGTGTCCGGCTGAAAGAGGCGCTCTGATTGAGTTGTTTTCACATAAAGAAACTTGAGTGCGTCTGAGTCACTCGGAGCCATTTTGTTCCTTTTAGATGAGCTGCCAGCCGCTGCCTATTCACTCCTTTACACGGCGTGGATGACTAATGCTCTCCTGCTAATGGAGCCACCTGGATGAATGGATGCCTCACCTCCTTCAGTCCCTCTGAGGGCTTACACCTAATGTTCTGAGCAGCTTGTTTACTCGGCTGTACGTCAGACGAAAGTAAAAGTACTACTAGTGTAGTAGAACAACTGGCCCTAATGGGATGTCCAGGTTCAATGAGAGCCTGTTCATGTGTTCATATTCACATTTAAAACTCCACTGTGGTGTTAATAAACCAGTAACAACATAAACCTGTAGATCCTCCACCAGGGGGCAGCAGACACGTCTAGGCCTGGATACGACGGGCTCCATGGGAATTTGTTACGACACACTGAGTTTCATCCGGGATCCCTCTGGGCCACGGTTGTTGGAGAGAAACCACAAACATGAGAGTCTCTGGATGAGCGTATTAAAACCTCAGGCTTCTAGAGCTACTGGGAACGCTGGACTGTAACAGGAATGTGAACAGCTGTGTGTTTATACAGCTTAAGCTCTGATGACCCGATGACCTGTGCAGATATAACACCTGTCAGGTGTGTCGTTGGTACCGATGGTGTGTAACCTTTCATGTTGCAGTTTAGTCTCGTGTTTCTCACTCAGCTGGGTTCCCATCCTAACCCCCCAAACACACACACACACACACACACACACACACACACACACAACATCTTTGACTTGAATTTCCACTCCTAATGCTTAGTTGGGGTTCAGAGCTCCAGCGGGCCGAGAGGGAGGCCCTGCGGGGCACCGGAGGAACGTTACGCCGGTTTCACGCTGGAAGCATCGGTGGCGTGAAACGGCAGCGGAACGGTTTACTAGCGAACTTCAAAGCGGTCCTTTTCACGCTGTTTGCTGGACTCTTGATCACACGATCCCTCGAGACTTCTGGTCACGGCTTGTTTCTGCAATCTGCCGTTAGACCAAAAAGAAGGAATTCACGTCTGATGTGATGGATGATGTTGCGCTCCACTGCCAGGAGTAAAGCCGTGAAAACGCGCCGCTGCCCTTCTGGAACGATGAGCTGCTGGGCCCCACGTAAGCTTCATATGTATGCATCGCTCCGGTACTTTTATTTTGAAATTTACTAGTGATTTTACACTGAAACCGTGTGTGACTCCCGCTCTAGCCCTATGTTAACTGCGGAAGTTGACGCATCCCAGAAGCGGCACGCGGCAAAAATAGAACCCTGGAAATTGCCGTGTTCCCGCTGGTTTGAAACTAAGATGGATTCTATTTGGAGCGCCGACGTTCCGCGCCGCCGATGCGTTCAGTGTGAAACCGGGGTTAGGAGACATCCAGGCTTTTGGACTAATGTTCCAGAAGAATCAAACATTTTATTTCATGAATGTTTGGAATCAAAACTGGGAAAATGACGGAAGTGTTTTTTCCTGTTTTCAGGTATTACTACAATAAACGGATCCTCCACAAGACCAAAGGGAAGAGGTTCACCTACAAGTTCAACTTCAACAAGCTCGTCCTCGTCAACTATCCCTTCATCGACATGGGCTCTGGTACGCACACACACACACACACACACACACACACACACACACACACACACACACACACACACACACACACACACACGCGCGCGGGGGCGTTCTGGTCCCAGCCACACAGAGTAAACATGGCCCATATGGAGCGTCAGACTCTGGGTGACATAAGTGCAGCACGAAGCTTTAATTATAGTGTGTGTGTGTGTGTGTGTGTGTGTGTGTGTGTGTGTGTGTGTGTGTGTGTGTGTGTGTGTCCAACACTGACATGTTGTGATATGATGGTGCACACATGCACACACACACACACACGACAGACGTGTGTTTTTATAAAAGCGGTTCTGGAAAAAGCCCGGCCCGTGCTTATGATGGCACCAGAACCACTTTTCCTACATTTGACTCCTCCCGGTTCTGGTGCCAGGAACCAGCAGCCCCAGTCTGGTGGGCTGGGTTCTGATCCAGATGTTTAACCCAAACCTGTTCTCCTCCTCCTCCCAGGTCGGGGGGTTCCCCAGAGCGCCCCCCCTGTTCCGACCGGAGGAACCCACTTTCGTTTCCCCCCCTCCACGCCGTCGGAGGTCCTGTCCTCCAGCGAGGAGCTGCGGAGCCCAGGGGTGTTCAGCGCCGTGGCCCGCCGCATGGCCCGCGGTTCTGTGAGCGACTGCAGCGACGGCACCTCCACCAACTCGGAGCTGGAGGAGGCCGCCGGCGCCGAGGAGCGCGCCATGGGGCCCGACAGAGCCTTCAGGGGGCTCCTCCCCCCTCGCCTGCCACATGACTCCCTGTTCAGGGTCTATGGGGGGGGGCAGCACCCCGCGGGGCTCCCTAGACCTGCTCCCAGGGTCCACCCAGACCCTCTGTCCCCCTTCCCCGTCTCCCCCCTGACTGGCCACGGAGGTCTCCTGGGTCCCACTCTGTCCCCAGCTCTGTCCATGACCCCCACCCCCCACCTGCCCTTCACCCCCTCCCCCTCCCTGTCGTCCCCCATGATGGGCTCCCACTTCTCCTTCAACCCGGAGGACATGAAGCACTACCTGCAGGCCCACACCCAGTCCGTGTACAACTACCACCTGAGCCCGCGGGCCTTCCTGCACTACCCCAACATCGTGGTCCCTCAGCCGCACCGCCCCACCCCCGACAAGCTCCCCACCCATCACCTCCACGCCCCCCCCATGTCTCTCCCTCACTCACTCGCCCAGCAGCCGGGAGGCGGCGAGGAAGGCCACCCGTCGCCCTTCAAGTTCAAGCTGCAGCCGCCCCCGCTCGGGCGCAAGCAGAGGGAGGCGGGGTCTTCTCTGGGCTCCTCCTCCTCCCTGCAGTCCGCCTCATTTACAGGTTCTGGTTCCGTCCCGGGAGGAGGGCCTCCTAAGATCAAGGTGAGTTGCGTTCTACTCAGAGTCTGAAATGTTCAGGTAAAAGGTTCTGAAGGTGTTCTCCCTGCCCAGGTGGAACCGGTGTCGGACCTGTCGGAGGAAGACGTGGAGGTGACTGACATCAGCGAGGAAGAGGAGATGAATCAGAATGATGAAGATGATGAGAGCGACCTCTTCACTGTCTCAGCTCGCGGTCGCCACCATCACCAGAACCACCAGGCTGACGGAACCAGCAGCAGCCCGTCAGCCGCTCCTCCTCCTCACATCGATGACGACCCAGACGACGACGAGGAGGTCTTCAAGACTCCTGCTACTCCTCCTGGCAGCAGCGGCTCGGCCGCTCCTCTGATGGGCCTGAAGAGCGAACCGGGCCAGGCGGCACCGATCAGCCCCGGAGGAACTTGCTGCATCCCGCCCAAACTCCGCTTCAAACGCCGCTGGAGCGAAGACCAGAAGATGGAGGCGGACGAAGACCGGGACGAGGCGGAGGACAAGAAGGTCCGTGCTGAGGAGGAGGAGGAGGAGAACAGAGGAGGAGGAGGAGGAGGAGTGATCCTGGGCCTGATGCTGCCTCCGGCGCCGACTCAGCGCCGCACCAGTGCAGAGCTCCAGAAGGCCACGGCGCAGCTGTCGCTGGAGCACGCCGGCTGCTGAGCCACACACACACACACACACATTCTTATCACACACACACACACACACACACATTCTTATCACACACACACACACACACACACATTCTTATCACACACACACACACACACATTCTTAACACACACACATTCCAAAACTAACACACACACACACACACCTGTGGGAGGCTCAGCAGCAGCTCCGGGCGTTCCGGATCGGCCGGAACTTTGCTCTAGAGAAAGTAGAACCTTCAGTCTTTTGGTTCCGGAGCAGAATGGCGTTCCTGGTGGGCGGAGCGACCTCGGAGTGCCGAGAGCTTCTTAAACGTCTAAACCGAACAAAATGAAATGTATCTTCAGGTTTTGTCAGAACCACCAGCTGGGTTCACGACCCACACAGAGACAACACTAAGAAGGAACCGAGCTGGCTCACATTGGAACTGCGAGTCCAGTCCCGGTTCTACTCCTGGCGTTCCCGGAGCCTTACAGAAGTGCCTCGGACCGCTGCAGCACCGCGCCGCTCTACCGGAGCAGAATCCTTCGCTACGTGTACAAAGATGAAACGGAGAGGATTGTGGGACATGGCAGATCTTTGTGGAGGAATTTTGACCCGGTTCTAGACGGGTTCTGCAGCGTCTGGATGACCGGATCTAAAGGTGTTCCTGCCCCCCCGGGACCGGGACAGTATTCAGGGCATTGGCAGCCACCTTCTGGATCTGTTTCCTGGAAACGGCCGAGTGAATGTGGAGCGTCAGGCTACTCAGGCGAACCTTCTCCCACATCCTGGGAATGTTCAGAGCCGAGATCGTTCCCGTTTTTTCGGCAGATTCCATAAGTTGGTGCCTTTTTGTGAGTTTTATCGATTCCCCTCCAGCAAAATGTATTAAAACAACCATCATGCCTTCGGCTTTTATAAAACCGACAAATATATTTTATTCAATATTAAGATCAAGTGTTTTATTTCAATATTTGATACAAATGAGTTAAATCCTGATATTTTTACTAGTAAAGATGTAAATAGTCGTCCGTATCCTGCCTTTCCTGTTGGGTTCATGCAGAGCTGAGCAGAACCGGGTCGGCTGTTTAACAGCTGATCTGTTCAGAACTTTCTCTCAGAAACACTCCTGGTCACCGTGGTTACAGTAAAAGGAAATGACATCACACACACCTCAGAGCAGCGACGGACTTCCCATAATCCCTCACTTTGCTCTCGTGTGTGTGTGTGTGCATGTGTGTGGTTACGTCATCACACACACACACACGCAACCATTTCCTTGTTCACCGTTTTCGTTTGAAATCCTCGTTTTCAGGATTTTTAACGACTGTTTTTCTTTTCCAGACACAAAAGTTGGGAAAACTCGTCTGGTGAAGGAAAACTGATGGCTGCCTTAGTCGGCCTTCCCGGTTTCATCCTTGTGCGTTTCCCGTCTCTCTCTCTCTCCTCGTCTTTACACCATTAACACGACTGCTCTCTGATGGCGTCCACTCGGCCTTTCCTTGGCTACTTGTGACCTCGTACCAGTTTGCACTCTTCCCGCGACCTTTACTCATTTTTGTAACCGCCGACGAGAGGAGGGTGACGTCATCGTCACGTGACGTAAAACACGGGGAAGAACTGCTTGTTTTTTAACTTGTGTACATATTTATATATAAATATATTTACTTTTGTTTCCATGTTGGTGGATTGTGTAAGAAAACAACCTTGTACTGTTTAACGTTGCTGTTTCCTTCCTCCTGCCGCGCCGCGAGCTTTCATCCTTGTTCTGTTTCCTTCTGTATCTGTTCATCCTCATTTGTAATTAAACAATAATCAGGGTTCATTAAAATGGTGAAAATGGTCTGATTCTCTCCTTTTTAGCTGTTTCTTACATTTCTGATAACGTTTTTGTTGAATGTGATGAAATCCATTTAAAAATGACCCAAAACAGAAAATCCAAACCAAGCAACAACTTTAAAAAAGTTCCGATTCTCCAAAACGCTCCGATATTTTCTTCCTACTGTGTGTTTGGAACTGTAGAAACTTTTCGACGCATTTTATTGGCTAATTAAAAACTTGAGTTATTTTAAGTGTTTTTCACATTAAGTATATAAAATATTTTTATTATCATTAATGTTTTGAGCTGATCCATCCTGTGAATGAAGTCTAACGGACATTAAACCATTTTCCTTCTCATGTGAAGCTGGTCCGTTCTGGCCTGTGGCTCCCCCTGCTGCCGCCTGCCGGTACTACTCCCGGGTTTTCCTGGATCTCCGGGATGCAGCAGGATGCTTTTATAACGACCGTTTGCCTGGAGATTGTTTATGTAGACGTGGAGACTTGTGCGGAGGGGAAATAAAAGCCTGAACTTGAGCCGTTTCCTGTGTGAACACTTCAGACGGGATTGGTTTTTTTACATCAGCCTTCCATCTGAAGCTGGAATCCTGCGATATGGAAGACAGCAGCTTTTAGGAAGCGCCCATCAAACCGGGAAGGAGCCGGACTTCTTTGGAGGTTTCCTGTCAGATTAGATCAAAACTAAACCGGAGACTAAAAATCCTGTCAAATGATGTGGAAGAAATTGTCAATTAAATAAATCCTACATCATGTTTTTTAAAAGTTCTAAATAAAATTTACAGGAAATGTGAAGCTTCCCGTTCACCAGGATCATGAAAACCCACCTGGTGGATGATCTTCTAGTCTTTAGCTGCTGGTGGATGATCTTCTAGTCCTTAGCTGCTGGTGGATGATCTTCTAGTCTTTAGCTGCTGGTGGACGATCTTCTAGTCCTTAGCTGCTGGTAGATGGTCTTCTAGTCCTTAGCTGCTGGTGGACGATCTTCTAGTCTTTAGCTGCTGGTGGACGATCTTCTAGTCCTTAGCTGCTGGTAGATGGTCTTCTAGTCCTTAGCTGCTGGTGGACGATCTTCTAGTCTTTAGCTGCTGGTGGATGATCTTCTAGTCCTTAGCTGCTGGTGGATGATCTTCTAGTCCTTAGCTGCTGGTGGATGATCTTCTAGTCTTTAGCTGCTGGTGGACGATCTTCTAGTCCTTAGCTGCTGGTAGATGGTCTTCTAGTCCTTAGCTGCTGGTGGACGATCTTCTAGTCTTTAGCTGCTGGTGGACGATCTTCTAGTCCTTAGCTGCTGGTAGATGGTCTTCTAGTCCTTAGCTGCTGGTGGACGATCTTCTAGTCTTTAGCTGCTGGTGGACGATCTTCTAGTCCTTAGCTGCTGGTAGATGGTCTTCTAGTCCTTAGCTGCTGGTGGACGATCTAGTCTTTAGCTGCTGGTAGACGATCTTCTAGTCCTTAGCTGCTGGTGGACGGTCTTCTAGTCCTTAGCTGCTGGTAGATGGTCTTCTAGTCCTTAGCTGCTGGTGGACGATCTTCTAGTCTTTAGCTGCTGGTAGACGATCTTCTAGTCCTTAGCTGCTGGTGGACGATCTTCTAGTCCTTAGCTGCTGGTGGACGATCTTCTAGTCCTTAGCTGCTGGTGGACGGTCTTCTAGTCTTTAGCTGCTGGTAGACGATCTTCTAGTCCTTAGCTGCTGGTAGATGGTCTTCTAGTCCTTAGCTGCTGGTGGACGATCTTCTAGTCTTTAGCTGCTGGTGGACGATCTTCTAGTCTTTAGCTGCTGGTGGACGGTCTTCTAGTCCTTAGCTGCTGGTAGATGGTCTTCTAGTCCTTAGCTGCTGGTGGACGATCTTCTAGTCTTTAGCTGCTGGTAGACGATCTTCTAGTCCTTAGCTGCTGGTGGACGATCTTCTAGTCCTTAGCTGCTGGTGGACGATCTTCTAGTCCTTAGCTGCTGGTGGACGGTCTTCTAGTCTTTAGCTGCTGGTAGATGGTCTTCTAGTCCTTAGCTGCTGGTGGACGATCTTCTAGTCTTTAGCTGCTGGTAGACGATCTTCTAGTCCTTAGCTGCTGGTAGATGGTCTTCTAGTCCTTAGCTGCTGGTGGACGATCTTCTAGTCTTTAGCTGCTGGTAGACGATCTTCTAGTCCTTAGCTGCTGGTAGATGGTCTTCTAGTCCTTAGCTGCTGGTGGACGATCTTCTAGTCTTTAGCTGCTGGTAGACGATCTTCTAGTCCTTAGCTGCTGGTGGACGATCTTCTAGTCCTTAGCTGCTGGTGGACGATCTTCTAGTCCTTAGCTGCTGGTGGACGGTCTTCTAGTCTTTAGCTGCTGGTAGACGATCTTCTAGTCTTTAGCTGCTGGTGGACGGTCTTCTAGTCTTTAGCTGCTGGTAGACGATCTTCTAGTCCTTAGCTGCTGGTGGACGGTCTTCTAGTCCTTAGCTGCTGGTGGATGATCTTCCTGTCCTTAGCTGCTGGTAGATGGTCTTCTAGTCCTTAGCTGCTGGTAGATGGTCTTCTAGTCTTTAGCTGCTGGTGGATGATCTTCTAGTCCTTAGCTGCTGGTGGATGGTCTTCTAGTCTTTAGCTGCTGGTGGACGATCTTCTAGTCTTTAGCTGCTGGTGGACGATCTTCTAGTCCTTAGCTGCTGGTAGATGGTCTTCTAGTCCTTAGCTGCTGGTGGATGATCTTCTAGTCTTTAGCTGCTGGTGGACGATCTTCTAGTCTTTAGCTGCTGGTGGACGATCTTCTAGTCCTTAGCTGCTGGTAGATGGTCTTCTAGTCTTTAGCTGCTGGTGGACGATCTTCTAGTCTATAGCTGCTGGTAGATGATCTTCTAGTCCTTAGCTGCTGGTAGATGGTCTTCTAGTCCTTAGCTGCTGGTGGATGATCTTCTAGTCTTTAGCTGCTGGTGGACGATCTTCTAGTCTTTAGCTGCTGGTAGATGATCTTCTAGTCCTTAGCTGCTGGTAGATGGTCTTCTAGTCCTTAGCTGCTGGTGGATGATCTTCTAGTCTTTAGCTGCTGGTGGACGATCTTCTAGTCTTTAGCTGCTGGTGGACGATCTTCTAGTCCTTAGCTGCTGGTGGATGGTCTTCTAGTCTTTAGCTGCTGGTAGATGGTCTTCTAGTCCTTAGCTGCTGGTGGATGATCTTCTAGTCCTTAGCTGCTGGTAGATGATCTTCTAGTCTTTAGCTGCTGGTGGATGATCTTCTAGTCCTTAGCTGCTGGTGGATGATCTTCTAGTCCTTAGCTGCTGGTGGATGGTCTTCTAGTCTTTAGCTGCTGGTGGATGATCTTCTAGTCCTTAGCTGCTGGTGGACGATCTTCTAGTCCTTAGCTGCTGGTGGACGGTCTTCTAGTCCTTAGCTGCTGGTGGACGATCTTCTAGTCCTTAGCTGCTGGTGGACGGTCTTCTAGTCCTTAGCTGCTGGTAGATGATCTTCTAGTCCTTAGCTGCTGGTGGACGATCTTCTAGTCCTTAGCTGCTGGTGGATGATCTTCTAGTCCTTAGCTGCTGGTGGACGGTCTTCTAGTCCTTAGCTGCTGGTGGATGATCTTCTAGTCCTTAGCTGCTGGTGGACGGTCTTCTAGTCCTTAGCTGCTGGTGGACGATCTTCTAGTCTTTAGCTGCTGGTGGACGGTCTTCTAGTCCTTAGCTGCTGGTGGACGATCTTCTAGTCCTTAGCTGCTGGTAGATGGTCTTCTAGTCCTTAGCTGCTGGTGGATGATCTTCTAGTCTTTAGCTGCTGGTAGATGATCTTCTAGTCCTTAGCTGCTGGTAGATGGTCTTCTAGTCCTTAGCTGCTGGTGGATGATCTTCTAGTCTTTAGCTGCTGGTGGACGATCTTCTAGTCTTTAGCTGCTGGTAGATGATCTTCTAGTCCTTAGCTGCTGGTAGATGGTCTTCTAGTCCTTAGCTGCTGGTGGACGATCTTCTAGTCTTTAGCTGCTGGTGGATGATCTTCTAGTCCTTAGCTGCTGGTGGATGATCTTCTAGTCCTTAGCTGCTGGTGGACGATCTTCTAGTCTTTAGCTGCTGGTGGACGATCTTCTAGTCCTTAGCTGCTGGTGGACGGTCTTCTAGTCCTTAGCTGCTGGTAGATGATCTTCTAGTCTTTAGCTGCTGGTAGATGATCTTCTAGTCCTTAGCTGCTGGTAGATGGTCTTCTAGTCCTTAGCTGCTGGTGGACGATCTTCTAGTCTTTAGCTGCTGGTGGATGTCTTCTAGTCCTTTGCTGCTGGTGGACGGTCTTCTAGTCCTTAGCTGCTGGTAGATGATCTTCTAGTCTATAGGTAGAAATCAGAAATGAACCGAAACTCCGCCATGAGTGAGAGAGACATGTCCCCCGTGTCCCCACCATAAAAATATGTCCATGCTAGATTATTGAAAAAGATTTTCAAAATAAAATTTTGAAAAAAAATTTTTAGACAAAGAAGAAAAGTTTTGGGGGAATTTTTTAACAGTTATCATTTCTAACAAAGGTTTTTTGAAACTGCCACAAGCTGAGAGGACAAAAGAGGACAGAGACAGGAGATGAGAGGACAGGGATGAGACCGATTTGGGTAAACCGTTGTCCCTCTGCAGGCTTCTTTAATCACTTTTGGTTTCCCAGGATTCCCGTTAACCATTCCCTCTCACGCTTCATTCCTCCTCCTGGTGACACCGCCCTCATCTCTGCAGGAGGCGGGTCTTATGAAAAGCAGGATGACTGACGGGCCGTTGGGCCTCCAGCAGAGAGGGATTGTGGTCTGGCTGAGGTCAGGGGTCACGGTCTGGAGGACCCGGGACAGAAACCAGACCTCAACAGAAAGCTAATTATCATGTATTGTTGCTGGATTCCTGCTGAGATGCCCTCTCGGCCTCCAGCAGCAGGACGCCAACCCTCTGGACCTCCAGCGGTGAAACGTGGTGAGAAACGCCTGATTTACATCTTTTAGTAGATCTATATATGTTGTTATGTTTTCCATCCGGCAGCCAAAGACTTCTGGGATGTTTTGGTGATCAACACTTCTTCAGACATTATGAAAAGTTTTATTTGGACTTTTGCTGCTTTTCACAATAAAATGTTACTTAACGTCTGCCCTTCTCAGAAGCAGCTTTTATCTTTTAACTGGTTTTAAGCAATAACAAAAATATTTTTTATTCTAAGATCAAATTAGTTGTAATAAGATATTTAAATATCAGATAATCTTATGAAAGTTTTGACCAGCAGCTCAGTTTGTTAAAGTTCCCTTTTTTAAACATTTTTAATCATAATTGTGATATTTTATTTAAGGCCTTCTATATAATTACCAGTTAATTATGAATTAATATTATTATAATGATATTAACTGGTTTAACGCCACCATAAAGTTAGATCGATGGTAAACAGCGCCCTCTGCTGGCCAGCGTGACTAACTGCATGTGTCATTTATTCTGTCATCTTTTGATTTTCTTGTTTTATTTTGAGTCTCATTTAATTTCTGTTCATTTTCAGCCGTCAGAGGAACAAAGTGTTTAACTGAAGTCATTTTTGAATGTTTATATGAGCTTTTATGAGAAGCTCCTTTAATGTTTCATCTTATTTTCAGAACATATTTAACAGAAATTAGAAGTTTCTGTTTACACACTGAGCTTATTCGGACCTGAAACTGTTTTTTTAACCTCAGATCTTCTTACAGTCATTTAATTTATTAACTTTTTAAAAGAAAACTTTGATTCAAAAGATTTCTGAGTCTAAAGAATGGAAACAGGAAGTTCAATGTCACAAATGAGGTGCTTTAAAGTCAAATCCATAGGTACGTTTACCCATAATGCAACTCCAAATAACCCCTGAAACTCTTCCTAGTTCCTCTAAAGATGCCTAAGTGGAACATTACAACCTTCAGTAGAATAAATGGGTATTAAGTCTAACAGCAGACTGAAGGAGATGTTTGTGCTCAAACTGCCTGAACTAGAAACTAGATGTTTTGCATGTTTTAAATAAAAACACTTCAGCTCTGCTGCTGCAGCTCCTGTTTTACATATTAATCCTGAAACTCTCCATAATTCTGAGCCAAGTGTATCTTTAAAAGACCGAATGTGGGTCATCTGCTGCTGTTAACAGGCTCTTGTAGATGACAATGCAGACATGCTCAGAGTGAGGCACAGCCTGTAGATCCACTGTGTTCAATCGACTTCAGAATATTTAGCAGGTTGCACGAGAGCAGGAGGTCTTATTTAAACACACTCGAGTCATAGCGTTTGGTCTCTGGAGCGCCGAGGAGTTAAGTGGCTGTAATGCATCTGAGGGCCGCTTAACCTGCAGCCTCAGCTTCATTCTTAGAAAGCGCTCGGAGGTGCTCACACCCGCTGGATTTATGGAGCTCGGTCACAACCGTCTGCAGCCGTCTCGGGCTCTGCTTCCATTTCCCTCCACGCTTCATCTCCATCCTCAGCTTCACGGGCCACAGTGATGCACTCGTCCTACATTTCTGAGCGTTGTGACTGAGGCAGAGGCTGCAGAGCTTCACCATCAGACCAGGGATCAGGTCTGATCTTCAGATTTAATCACGTCTTTCACCAACGTCCAAAAGCTGATCGTAAATATGCTTCACTACAGCTTACGTAACGTGTGTGTGTGTGCGTGTGTGTGTGTGTGTGTGTGTGTGTGTGTGTGTGTGTGTGTGTGTGTGTGTGTGTGTGTGTGTGTGTGTGTGTGTGGACCCCGGATGGGTCACTCTGAGGAACCTCAGCGCTTCTCTTCCTGTTTGGCTGAGCTGATGGCAACAAGCATAATGACCTCACCGTAGCTCACGGTCATTGGCCTGCAGACCCGAAGCGTCTCCACCAATCACACGCTACTCTGGTGACGTATGGCCCCAGCGGCTGTTCTGATTGGTGCATAGGAGCGTGTTTTAGGATTCCGTGTCGTCTCGCACTCCTCTGATTGGCTGAAGCTAGACTGAGCATGAGCACCGGGGATGTTTTTCTTTATTTTGTTGCTCCTGTTGAAGCCCAACCTGTGGATCAGAGCCTCAGACAGGAAACGGAGCGGTCACGACTCACCCCGAGGCTGCTTTAGAAATGCGCACTTTCCGACCTGAGTAACAGGTGTATTATTACCATGCTGTCACGTTCTAGTCCAGTCGTGTCCTTTCAGACGACAGACCCTCTAGAGGAACGGAGGAGAGGAGAGCGCGACAGACAGGCAGGCAGACAGGCAGAAAAGCTTTTTTATGCATAAAAGTCGCAGACTCACAGACCTCCCATTGGCCGCCGCAGCCTCGCTCTTCCAACAGCTGTTCTCTGTTTTCCCACACTGTGATTGGCTGCGCCTTCCTGTCCATCAAATTTACTTCGACGCGTAGCCCCGCCCCCGCCCGCGTATGGCTCAAGCCCATTGGCTACTGTACGCATTCTCCTCCGCTATTGGGCGCGTGAGCTGGTTGTCAAGGCTCCGGGGCTTCATTCACCATTTTGCGACTGTAGAGTAGAATGTACGGGCAGGAGTTTCTCCTCCTTTGAGTTGCTTCGGCGCAGAAACATGAGCGCTCGCTGACGGGCAGCCGCGGACCGCAGGCCCCCGTGCCCTACTTGACCCGGCGGAGGAGCAGCCGGGGGCAGCCGAGGAGCTCCGGTGAGTGGAAGGGTCCTCCTGCGGCGCTGCAGCGGGGCTTGTTGTGCTTCGGCTTCGTGCTGCTAGCTCTCCGTGTTTACCGTGGCCGGAGACCGAGTTAGCGGCCGGTCCGGTCCTGTCGGGTCTCCCGGCTTCACGCATAAAAAGTTTTCCACTTGACGTGCCCCGCTCCCGCCTGCTGGAGGAGCACGTTTCACGGCTGTCCGCGGGCCCGGCTGTTGACACTTTCTCCTCCTCTAACGCAGCTCGGGACAAACTTATAGCTCAGCTTTCAGGCGCGTGCCACTCTCGGATTAGCCCCAAAAACACTCGTTTCTCTTTGGGTTCGCCGAACCGGGAGTCTGGGCCCTGCTGGAGGGCGGTGGGGTCAGGATGTCCCGGGAAACCGGTTATTTCCCGGTAACCGTGAGGACAGGATTTCCAAGCGGCCTCGTTTATTTGCGGCCTGCTTGCCGCACGCCACGGCCTGCAGTGTTGTGGAGTACAACCGGTAGTAACTGCGGTACTACGAGGGCTTGACTCGGTACTATTCCAGCTGAAGGAGAGGTGACGACATCAGCGCTGGTTGTTTGCATGCTCTGGGCCTTGTCTAGATGAAGTTAACAGCTGTTATCTGTGGATTATGGGATGCACAGCCCTGTAGTAACCCTGCTGTAAAGTTGTCACGGAAAAGTTTCAGACAGCAGAAGTGGATTTAAAAGTCTCAGAAACACATTTCCTAAAGAGAGACCGGCTTCTGCTTCCGTCAACTTTTAAATTCTACAAATATTTTCGCTTCTCTGAAAGCAAAACAGAAAGAAAAGAGAACATTTGTGGTTTTGAAAGATTCCAGTGCAGACTAAACAAATTCAGGTGTAACCAACAGAAAGGTTAAAGCTGCAGCCAGTGGCTCATTAGGGTCGCTATGGTAACCACACACCCTCATCTCTGAGACCTAAAGAGCTCTGGCCGAAAAGTAAATCTCAAGACAAACCGCTTGGGGGGCAAAAGCTACAAGTCGTTTAAGGCTCTGATGGTCACGTGATGTCACTTCTGAAGAGAACATTAGAGGTCTAATCGACCTACAGCCTGTGGAAGCTCGGGGGAGAACGCGCTTCAGTCTGAGGGGACCTGAGAGCAAACAGGTTGTGGGACAGTTCAAAGGTTAGCGTGTGACACCATCACGCGCAGCTTATGAACGTGTTATTTTAAAAGAAAATCTTAATTTTTTAATCTGATTGTCTGAAATCCACCAAGCTCTGTTTTTCATGCGACCCATTTAAGCTCTGATTGGTGTTTTTAAGATGTGGAACACCAAAGGAGGCGGGGCTTTCTCCATCATAACACATCGTTATCGATGGGACAGATCGTGCCTTTATTTTACGAGTCTCGTCTACAACTGACCGCAGCCCGAACCGTCCTGGTGGAAACTAGATCTAACTTGGAGGTGCGGAGCACTCGTTTAATCAACGCGGTGGTCTCTAGTCGTGCTCGGGTGGCACAAAGCTCAGACGCACCCGTGACAGGAACTAGCAGTGACCCATATCAGAGGAGAGCTTATCGCGGCAGGGTTGGAACTCTTGGACATCTCTCCTCTGATTGGTTAACACCAACATGACTCTTCCACTGACTCCGCTTGCTGTGTTGATGCTTCATCTCCACAATTGGCCCAATTTTTTAAACATCATTCGAAAGTGACGAAGACCGCAAGCTTCTGATTGGTCAGGACGCCACTTTCTGTAAATATGTCAACAGCACCGTCAAAAATTAAAATGATATTTGGCGGTTGTTACGGCCACCGGCCTGGCCTCTAGTGCTCCAGGAGCCAGGGTTGTTACGGCGGCGGACACGGAGCATCACCGAAAACATCAGAAAATGCGTTTATTCACCCGTGACTGAAAGAGTACAGAGATACGGAGCAAAGCTTTTATTCGCGGGCGGAAATGGCGAGAAACGCGGGTTTAGACGTAGCGGCCACGTGAACGGGGAGGAGAATCTAGGACAAATTAATCCACCTGATAAAGTCTCTGAAGTACATAAACACGTTAGTAACTACAGAACCGTGGACCGGATACACGAGTGTAATGGTGGCAAGGTGCCACAGAGAAGCGTTACGCCCTCTGTTGTCCTAGCAGGGAATTGTTTCGGAGAAGTGCGGGAGCAAACGTCTCTGTCAGAGCTGATGGAGGATTATAAATCAGGCTTAATCCTAGTTTCACCGTCGGTTTTCTATCAGAAGCCACTGCAGCAGATAGGTGTAGGAGACTATTCTTATGTTCAGCCTGCATGAAACACTCAGAGTGAGCCGTTAGAGCCAGAGATAATCATTAAAACTAGGGCTGCATAATACATCGTAAATATATCGTTATCGCGATATCAGCATGCACGATATGCATATCGCAATGAACGGTCAGCTCAGATGTTTGCTACACATCACGCATTCTGTCAATCAAACGGGAGCATGATGTTTTTTTAACAAATCAAACAGAGCTCTTCACCCGTTTGGCCAATCGGGTGGGTTCTCATAGGTTCGATGCCCGCCCCCGAGGTGGGCGGCACTTCATTTTGATGGTTAGCGAACACCTGAGTTAGCTTAGTTCTGCTCTTTCTGCTGATTCTGCTTTTCCCGGGATCCACCGGTCGCCTTTCTTGTTCATTTTCTTTTTCCCTTTCCTCACAACTTTTGCTTTTCTCATTTTTATGATTTTTTAAATTTTTGATTTTGATTATTTTTGTTCCCGAGTTAAGTTTTTATTTATCGCAAGTAATATCGTCATCGCAATATTAATCACTGTTATCGAATATCGCAGGTTTTCCTAATATCGTGCAGCTCTAACTAAAACAGGATTTTTCACTGTTCCACACCTTTAATCTCCAGTTTTAAAGGTTTACCCAAACTGAATTATTCAGCCGTCGTGTTTCCCTCGTCTTGCATGACTGCCAGGAGCTTTCTGCTGCCTGTACGTTTGTCAGCTCATACAAGAACATAAGTGTTTTTCTTTAAATTAGATATGATTAATCTTGCGCTCCGCCAGATGACTGCCGGAACACTCCTGGCTCCACGTTTCACCCAGAGGAGTGTGTGTTGCATCAGTTTGCCTGTAGCTGTTATCGCCGGGCCCGTGGCTCTGACACCAGCTGTTGTACTCTGTACACTACTGCGTGAACACATGTAGCATACCTCCATCGTGACCAAGTAAGGCCAACTGCCAAATTATTTTATGACTTCAGCTCTACGGTCGTCTGTCCTAAATAGGGATTTACATGGAGCACAGCGATGGCTGCGAACTCGTCACGCGTGCACTATCACCACACAGATGTCTGCTGTGTGTGGCCTTGAGACGGCTGGGACGGCGATGTTTAAAGGCAGCAAAAGGGAACAGGGACAGGAGACGCGGGGACAGACATGTAGGTTGCCAGACACTCGCTGACGAGTCGAGAGGCTTAGTAGTTGATAGACAAGCAAACAGAAGCGCTCTGACGGGGAATATCAGCAGCAGTGAGCCGCTGGGCGAAGATGACGGAGCTGAAAGCTGCTCTGCTGTGATCCTCTCCTGTTTACATGTCACTAACATCTCAGTGCTGCCGTGGAAACGCGTGTTCAAAGAAACGAGGCAGAACATGCAGCAGCAGCTCCAACGACGAGTCCTGCATGCTTCAGCCTTACAGCAAACACTCTCATTAAATAACGAGTTCAACAAGTCATCAGATCAATGCTTTCCAGCGCCTAAACTGGGCCAGAACCGTGAATGAGAGTGGGAGATGTTCTGAATGACTCCTGCGTGCCTCAACCATTATTCCACCTTTCTGGACGATTGCAGCACAAAACGAAAATGGAGACTTAAGTGGAGGTGAGAGGTAAAAAATCGATATCTGCAGTCGGGGACTAGAAGGAAAGTGTAATAGTAGCAAAGAGAGAGGGAGGAATAAAGTAACGGGAAGTTAGGTAATGGTCTTCCACAGGAAATGGAGTTCGTAGGGGCGGATTGACTCCGCTTTGAAATACACAGATAAAGGTCGCCTTGGAGAGAGAGGCAGAGAGAAGAAAGGGAGGGTTTCAGTATGCGAGCGAAGGAGGAATTCCCCCGCCTCTACTGCCCCGGCCAAGAAATAGTGTGTGAGTAAGGAGTGCACGCACAGAGGCTTGTCTGGGCAAATCGCAAAGCACTCCTCACTATTTCCATGCTGCGTTGTAAGCCTGCAGTGTGTTTACCCGACAATATGGCCTCCTGTTCTCTGCGTGTACCTGCTATGGGTGCAGGCTTTGTGTAATGTGAGTAGGACCTGTTATATAACGACTTAAAGTGTAACGAGTAATCAGATTACTACTTCAGTTAATCTTTTAGAAGAACGTTTGCATCTTTTGGCTTCCTGTTCTGGATCCAGCTTTGTGTCCTTGTCTCCTGATGAGCCTGTTCATGTTGTATACAGTCATTAGGCTTTGTTTGTGTCTGAATGCCGAAGGAGGAGCCCACGCTGTCGCGTTCATTCTTTCTGTCTTGTTCTCTTTCAGAGTCTCAGGTGGGCAAGTGCCGAAGTCACGCAACCAAAGACGAGACAGGATGAGAAAGAGAGGCCCTGACAGAGGAAACACATAGACAGGACGCAGGGAAAACAAGGAACGCCAAGGAGATTCTCTGGGATAAATAAATAAAAACAGTTGTTTGGAGAAGAGGCAAGCCAGATAAAAAGATGAAGCCGATAAAAAAACAGGGCCGGCGCTCCCCTCAGTCCACCCGGACCAAAGGGGCGAAGCGTCGCGGAGCCGGGGATGCCTCCGATGGAGGAGAGAAAAGAGACTCGGGTGAGAACAGAGACAGAAGCAGATCCCCTCAAAACCGAACCCCCTTATCCTCGTTCTCCTCCGGTTCCCACTCAGAGTCATCTCAGGCTGGTTTGACGAGACTGCGGGACGCTTCAGACGGGGAAGGGCTGTCAGAGATGCCGATGTCGGTCATGATGGAGTCTGGGAAACTGTTGATGTCTCCTGATGAAAGGTCTGGGAGGACGGCTCTGAGCGGCAGCGGCAGCCACTGTGACAGCGGGGCTAGCAGCTGTAGCAACAGCAGCACACCGAGCGCCAACAGCAGTCCGAACCCCGCCTCCAGCCGGAAAACAGCCACCTTTAAGGCCCGCGTTCCTAAGAAGAAGTACACCTCTGAACACTATGCCTCGGCTACTGCCAGTAATCACAGCAACCCTCAGTCCACTACACCCCCTCCCAACCCTCTGAGCAGCAGCGACCTGAACCAGGGCTCAACGAGTTCAGGAGTCAATGCCAGCGTTTCACATCCTGATGGCAACGGTCAGAGCAGGAACCAGATGGAAGACTTCAGCAGCAGAACAACGAGGAGGGAGGAGCCTCGGGGCTCTCCAGGACCTCCCACACTGTTGCTCGGAGGCGAGAGGCCCCGAGGAGGTGAAAGGCCCACAGACGGAGAGCGAGTGTCCCCTAGTCCACTGCCTCGCTGTTCCTCAACAGACACCGCCAGTGAGCACTCGGCTGACCTGGAAGTGGTTGGCGACACGCCCATCATAGCACAGACATCATCTCGCTCAGCGCCCAGCCTGTCTGATGCTCTCTCGGACACTCTGGCCAGGGGGTTAAAAAACCAGCGCGTTCTCGCCCGTCAGTTCAGACGACAAAGTTCTGAAGGAGGAGGCGAACCAAGAGAGGAATGGAGGAGCTCAGATTCTGTGTTCCGAGCTGGAGTGGTCCGCAAGGTCAGCGATGAATTTGGATGTCTTGAGGTGCAACTGAATGGGGAGAAGACCCTGTGCCGTTACCCTTATCGACATGACAGCCCACCAGGAGTAGTGGAAATCATCCTGGATGCACCACCCCCTGGTGTCCACACAATACCTATTGGCACGCAAGTCTGTGTACCATTTGGCAATGAAGAGGGTAGCGAGGGCCAGTGGTACCGAGAAGGTCTGGTGACCGAGGTAGACACACACCCCGCCGTGGCGAATTGCTATCGTGTCCTGTTGTCAGAGGGAAGACATCGCTCTGTGAAGGAGGAAGACAGCAGAAGTGCCACCCAGGCTGTTTGGGTCTCTCGGCACACTCTCCGTCTGCTGGTGCCACCATGGGATCTTGATTTACCCTCTGGTGGGGGGCACGAAGAAGAAGAGGGTGTCAGAGATAAGGAGGAAAGGCGTGAAGACAGAGAAGACATAGACGTGGAGCAGGAGGTGTGTCGTCTGAGCAGACAAATGACCCCTGGCATGGGCTCAGTGTTTAGGAGGGACGTGTCGTATCCAGGCATGGTCCCTGTTCCCTCCACTGTAGGCCACAACATTACCTCACCAGTGACTCCAGCGTCGGTGCTCAGCTTGGCTCCTGGCCGAGAGTGGGAAATTGAAAAAGATTTGGAGCGGGAACTTGTGAGAAAACAGAACAGAGAAAGGGATGGCAATGCAAAGCAGCAGCACCACCCGTACATGCCCCTCACCCCTGAAGAAGACATGGAGGTGTCCCACTTCAACATGGTCCCAATGGGGGCGATCATACCCGGGGCCAAACCCATGACAGTTTCCCAACATTGTCAGATTGTCTCTAAGCCCCCGTCTGGCTACCTCAATCCTCATTTACCTGTAGTGAACATTGGGATCCCCCCCCACCTGGCCCTGAGTCACCCTCCTCCATCTAATGTCCGGTTAGGCCTTGATTCAACCAGTGCAGCAGCCAGTGCTGTCATCACTGCCCAGCAGATCCCTCCTCTCCCTCCCATCTCCTCCTCCACTACGTCTTCCAGAGTAGAGAAGACCCCTGGAGGAGGTTCTGCCAGTGGTGGAGGAGGGTCTGGATCTGGTTCAACGTCCTCGCGTTCCCGGACTCCACTTACAGCTGCCCAGCAAAAATACAAGAAGGGAGATGTAGTGTGCACGCCAACAGGCATACGAAAGAAGTTCAATGGGAAACAGTGGAGGAGGCTATGCTCTCGAGAGGGCTGTTCAAAAGAGTCTCAGCGACGAGGATACTGCTCCAGACACCTTTCAATGAGGACCAAGGAGATGGAGGCCAGTGGAGGTGGCCGAGAGCGCAGCGGAGCCAGCAGTACAGGAACCCTGACGCCGTCCGACCTGCGACTGGGCGGTGGGAGAGCCAGCTCGGAGTTCGACTGGGATGAGACATCGCGGGAAAGCAGTGAAGCCAGCAGTCGTGGAGGAGACTCTCGTCCACGCTTGGTCCTCCCCTCTCTGCTGCCCCAGGAATTCAACTTTGATGAATGTGAAGCAGCAACGATGCTGGTCTCCCTGGGGGGCTCCCACTCTGGCACGCCATCATTTTCCCCGGCCTCAAACCAGTCGCCATTCTCCCCTACCCCTTCACCCTCACCTTCCCCCTCGTTTTTTGGCTTCCGCCCTGCCAATTTTAGTCCCATCAACCCCTCTGCTACACGCCGCAACAGGCAGCTTAGTGGCACTAAGATGGGTACGCCAGGAACTGAGCGAGAGCGCCACCTTTCAGGGATTGTGCCATCATTTCAGACCAACCTGACCTTCACGGTCCCCATTAGCCCCAGCAAGAGGAAGCTGGAAACTCACCCGCCCCCTCCCTTGCCTGCAGTTCAGGACTACCAGGCCAAACAGGACCAACAGCAGCTGATGAGTGTAGGGGGCGCCATCATTGGAGACACAGCTGCCTTTAGAGTCCTCTCCCCTCAGAGTCAACCCACAACCCCTTCCTCACTTTCCTTCCCACATCCTCGCAGTGTCAGCAGGCCATCCTCCTCTGCTGCCTCTACACCTCCACCCATGCTGGTCTCCCCCACTCCTCCTTCCCCTCTGCCCCTGGAGCCCTCTCCACGCCGCATCGTTCCCCTCCGCGACTCCCCGGTTATTGTCCGCAACCCAGATGTCCCCCTTGCAAAGTTCTCTGACGGCCCGTTAGCGAGGAGAGAACGAAGTAGGTCGAGGGATCAGAACCAGCCTCAACACTCAGCCCCCCCAGGCCTGCAAGCCCCCGTCCCCATCAATGGAGCCACCACCAATGGGGCGGTTCTCCTGCGAAACCCCACCTCAACCCTTGTGCTGGTCACCTCCAGTTCGGTAAGAAATGATGTTTTAGTTTCAACGATGAAGCAAAACTGAAGACTAAATCCAGACTTCTCTTAGGAGCACAGCTGGTTTCGATAAAACTGTTGAATGTTTGCGATGATCTTTCTCTTCCTTTCCATGTTTAGTCAGGGTCCATCTGATTGCCCAAACCACCTGTGTGTCTGCCTGTCTGACTATTTGTCCATAATCCGATCGATAGATGTGTTTCTTAGCATGCGGTTGGATTTATTGGAACCCAGCGTGAACTTTGCTACGGTTTTTCATGAACAATGCTGTCTCACTCATTGATTGTGTTGTAAGACTTTAAAAACGCAGAGAGTGTTTAATGTCTGCTGATTTCAGGTCACTTTATGTTTTGTTCCAGTCCTTGACTCCAGGCACAGCTGGCCATCCCGCTCTCTCCAGCCCCTCTACTCCCAGATCTATATCTGCTCCGTCCGGCTCGGTCCTCTCCTTGTCTGGTTCTGGAGGCAGGGACAGGAAACCCGAGGGGCACCAGGACACCTCAGGGGGGGCGCTGCCGCAGCCAGTGGCCTGTCACCCCACCCCAACGGCCCTGCTGCCGCTAATACTGCCAGCCGAGTCACCTCACCCCGCACCGCGCAAGCAAATCATCATGGGACGCCCCGGCACCGGTAAGAGACTCCAAAGGGAGCGACGGAGCGCTGGGCTTGACCTTTGTGAAAGATTCTGCCGAGTCATAATCTAAAGAAGGAAAGGTGTTCAGGATGCATTTAGTGCACTCTTGTCTTTTTACAACTCACTTCAGTATCTCTCTTGGGTTGCAGCAGCGTCATCGGGGTGCTCTGGTAATGACTCATGTATATTTTACTACTGTTTGTAGTACAAGAAAGTAACCATTCACAAAGTATTAATAGTCCTTGTGTTTTGTGACTTTTCCTTTGGGCTGCTCTTCTTTTCTTAGAAATGCTTACATTTTACTCACAGAATGAGCGCACAGAGTTGTTGTGTGAAGCGCTGCTGTAGGGGGAGGGGCTGTTTTGGATCTGAGCTTAATGCAATCAGAAATACAAAGTTGTATTAAGTACAGATAAAATGCTGTTTTATTAGTCATCAGAGGTAAATTTGACCCAAACGTGTGTCTCTGCTGCAGATTTGTCTTTATTTTAGTGCTATGCGCTGTAATAGTTTGAATATTTAAGGTAACAGAAAAGCTGCTGAGGTCTGCAGGGCTGTTAGAGAGGAGCTTAATAATATTTAAAATACCAAATCTGTGTGATCTTAATTAAAGGTGGAAAGGCGGAGTTTCAGAAGGAAGTGGTGCACCCGCTGCTATGCCAGCGCTTGTGTACCAATAACTTATAATAGTAAAAAATTAGAATGTCAACATTTCCACGTAAAACACCGGATGTTTGTAAGGAAAGACACAAAGACGGATCTTTGAGGTTTTTGAAACCAAGTCCTTCATGTCTACCATAATTCATGAGCAAATTAGTACATTTCCAAAAGTTTTCTTCTATATAATTTTTTGAATTGTACAACAGTTTTACATTTTTTTATGTTTTCCTCTTCCACCAAACCGCTCCTCGGACTGAAGTGGTCATACTTTTTTGTGCGGTACGAACACATGATTGTCTCATGTTATTTTGGCCTCTGGGCAAATAATCTCCTTCGCTCTCCCTAAAATGTTTTTGTAAGCTCAGTGGAAGACGTTGATGTTTCATTTTATACATTATTTGCATGAGTTATATTTAACAAGATCGTTGACCTTAAAGAGCAAGTCACCCTCAAATCAACTTTTTTTTGTTGATAAACTATATAAATGAGTGTAATAGCTCTGTAGACGCGTTCAGTCAATAATTTGGCACTTTAGTTCATCTTAGTTAAAATTTAAGTAATCTGCCTAAAACTGTCAGCGATGCACCGTCGTCAGGCAAAAACTCGGCACTGCATTTGAATTTAAATCTGCCATCGCTATTGGCTAAGGTACACTATGATGTTAGATGGTACATTATGATGTCACAATGCCGTGTGTGTGTGTATTTGTTAGCGGCTCCGCCCTCTCGGTCCGCTAGGCAACAGCATGTGTTGTATTGTTCAAACAGGAAGTGGGAGTTGAGTAAGAATCTGGCAGGGGGTGACTTGCTCTTTAAGCAGATTAGATTTTAAAAATAGATGACTGGTATGCTCATAGAATCCTACATTATGTATTATTGTTATTGCTTTGTTTTGAAGATTAAATAACAGCTGTAAGGTGGCTTTATAAGTATTTCCCCACACCTCCATACAATAATTTAGCAGAGAAATGTTGCAGTTGGTTAGAAACTTCAACAAATAATCATGATAAAATCGCAGTTTCTTTAAAAAAAATCCAGATATGATATTTTTGCCAGATTGTGCACCCCCGCTGCTACGTGTTCGTCGTGTTTGTGGGCAGATTGTGCCGTTTCAAACAAGGTGAATGTTACAAATGATGTATAGCGCAGGAAAGAAAATGTGCTATAGGGAACTCCAGGTGCACGGGTTCATCGTGTCCTCTCTGCTTGTTTCCATGCCAACTTTGATACATGGCAGTACGTGCAAGCTCGGAAACGTGAGTTACAGAGATGGTTGAGTTTAACCGAAGGATTCTTGCGTCTGGATTTGTGCAGAAGTTGTGAGTTCGATGGCGCTGGAGGAGTAATTTATAGATGATCATAAACAAGTTGTGCGACTCAAAATTCTGACTTTAGCATTTCACCCGTTGTGCATGAATTAAACTTTATTTAAATTTGGATGAAACAATTAAAAATAAATGTTTTCTGAGGTGTGAAAATCACCAGTGATTATATACGTGTTGCTCGGCAACCATCCAAACCCGCTGCCGTGTGTAATTAGTGACTCAGTGTGTGTAGTGTCAGAGTTATCGAGAGTCTAGTGTGAGAGTGTGTGTGTGTGTGTGTGTGGGGGGGGGGGGGGGGGGTCTGTGTGTGTGTGAGAGATAAGAGGTGCCTCACTAAAACTTTTAGAGTCTACGAGTATTGACATGTTTGGACTCGATGAGACTGCGAGGGCGAGGAGGAGGACACTCACGCCGCCTCCACTCTGATACAGACGCACTCATCTCCAGACAATCAGCAGCCTCAGACTGAGCGTTAAGGCCCGCTTCAGCGTGATGTGAATGTGTTTCAGCAGAAAAGGAGTAATCGTATTGCTGGTGTGTTGTCATGGATGCGCTGTTTCACTGCTAGAGTTAGTTCAGTAATCGTTCAGGCCTGAGCTGATTACCGGCGTGTGCTTTTCTTTCTTTCAGCCCGTCACACCCGTCGGCCTGCTGCTAATGGCGCCCTGCCCACGTAGCGTAATGTTTTCCTTACCGTGCATTTTAAAAACAGCTAGGCCTCCAGCATCTTCAGTCAACACCGGCTCCACGGCTGAAACCTCTCCTAAATATAACCCGGCTCGAGCACAGCTGCATTAGCATCACGCGTTTCATTACTGCTCCTTTTGCATGCATCTGCAGGCCTCGGTGGCAGAAAGCAGCACGAAGGCTCTGATGTGGCCCAGGGCACATCTTGTTTTAGGGGCTTTTTTACATTTCTGCACCAGCGTGCAGGATTATTAACATGGATTTGTGGACAGATGGTTTACAGTTTGTTCTCACTTCTTAGAGCAGGTGTATCTTTTAATGAGGTTTCCAGCTGTAGAACAATGAGCGTGTGATATTCTTAACCCTCTCAGGTTAAAAATAAGTTTTGATAAAAGGACGAACAACTAAGTCCTTCAGGGGTACTTCTGAGTTAATAATGCTCATGAAATACGTACATGGAGTAACCAGGTAGGAAGGTTTTAACGTTGCAAACCTGCAACGGCTGCCTCCAGAGGGTTAATGACAAACTTCTACTGTTAAATCTTTTACTTTACTGGTCCTTCTTTTCACTTCCTTGTGGTGTTAGCAGGAGCTAAAAAAGCTTCAGATTTTTATTTAGTTTTACTAACCAACCTTTATTCTGTTGTTTTGCTTTTTTAAATGACTTCACTTTTTAAAACATCCCCAAAATGTAGTAAAACAGAAAGCTAGTAAACAAATGTAAACATTAGCATCACAAATAATCCCTGATAATTCTGGAAACCCAGACCTATATTTTTCCTCATTTGCCATTTAAATTCTTGCACATAGCAGGATGTTATTCTTCTAACTAGAAATACTTTGGATATGTCAGCAGGCGTTGTGAGAAGGGTTTTAGAGTGTTTGAGCTGAATCCGTTCGTTACATCTTTCTGTTCAAGTAGGTTGTTTGTTAGCAAGTTTTATTTTTAAATCACAGTGAGAAGGGGTTACTCAAGTCTCTTGTTTCTGTTTTCAGCTGTTAGCAAGCAATGGATATTAGCGAGTGCTGGCTGTTAGCCAGTGTTAGCTGTTAGCAAGCATTAGATATTAGCGAGTGCTGGCTGTTAGCCAGTGTTAGCTGTTAGCAAGCATTAGATATTAGCAAGTGCAGGCTGTTAGCCAGTGTTAGCTGTTAGCAAGCATTAGATATTAGCAAGTGCTGGCTGTTAACCAGTGTTAGCTGTTAGCCAGTGTTAGCTATTAATGAGGTTTAGCAAGTCTCTTTAGCCGTGGCCCCCAAAAGGCCTGGAAACGGACCCGTCTGTGGGACTGAGCTTTGAAGCTGACTTGTATCAAATATATAAATATTACATACTTATAAATTATTACTTTATAAAGGTAAAAGCCTTCATGTCCTTTTCAAGTACAAGGCATTGCATTTTAGCTATAAGACCTGTTTATAGCAAGTCAGGTCTTAACATTACACACACACACACACACACACACACACACACACACACACACACACACACACACACACACACACACACACACACACACACACATCATGTTTGCACTCTATTGCACATGGTGACTCGTTTCTTAAAGTGCAGTTTACATGGAAGGGAAGTTAAGGTGGCACACACAGAAAGCAGCACGTTTGCAGAAAATTATCTTTGCATTCAGCACATGAAGAAAGGCAGATTATGTTGATGCTCATCTGTTCGGTAATGTTTTTGTATAAAATAACTACAGGAATAAAGAATACATGTTAGTATAAGATATACGAGGTACGAGCAGGAAGAGGATGAAGCTGTAAACCATAATCAGCTGACAGACTCTAGCCATGAAATCCCAGGAGAATTACCTACTCTACTCCACTCTACTCCACTCTACTCTACTCTACTCTACTCTACTCTACTCTACTCACACTTGGGCTCATTCTGACATTTTCCGAGTAGCTTAACCGCCGCTGTGGGTGGAGGCACCTTAAAGTGTTGAATTAGCGCTTCCACTGGGTCACATTTGGACTCTCGTGCATCTTCAAGAGTCCCGATAATAAAGGGCGGTGTTTATCCATAAATAACATCATAAATTACTTCCTGTTGAGATTGTTCTGTGAACTGTCATTAGTTGCAAACAGTAAAAAATACCTGGAAATGAATTTCCCAGAGAGATAAGGAAACACAGACTAGCTGTTTGTTGCAGTGGCGTTCGTGGAATCAGTTTATCACCTAAAAGCTTCTCAGTGAGTGAGTCCATTAGAAACCATAGGACAGCACTGTCCCATAAGATTATGTGTACGCAATAGATGACAGATATATTCAGGAATCCTTTCTGGGTTAAAATGTTAGGGTGCGTAGAGCATGAGCGCAAAGTCTGTAAATATTTATGTAACTTTGTTGATGCAGCAAATTCATAACATAAATGTGGCGCTAACTCAGACAAATTCATCTCAACAGAAGAGCTCTGTGGACCAAACAGAAGCATTTTATTTTGAAATATGTGTGATGAAGGGTAGATTGACTCCTTTGGCAACTTTTGAGGATGTTAGTTGTTTTGTAACACAACAAACAAACGATCACCAGTAGAGAAGCTAGCTCACCGTTTATCTAGACCAGCTGCCTCGGCTATCTGTGTCTGTTTGTTTATGTTGTGTAAAGATCTGTTGCCACGGTTATCAGATGCTCTCGTTCTGTTGTAAAACCTCAATCGGTCCAGCTGCTGATCCGTCCTCGACTCGTCAATGACGTCTTCAAGTTTAAAAGCTGCTAAAACAAAGCTGAATTTGACCTTTGACCCCACATGTGATCAGGAAATGCGTAATTTCCTTCACAATAAAAGGCGTGAGCAACGACGCTCGCTTAAAAAGCCCCAAACAAACCAATGTGTGTGAAGCATCAGAACCAGCTTCACTTCCTCAGCGGAACTTCCTCCTGGTGCCACGGCAACGCCGTCGTATCAGAACCAGAACACTTCTCTCATTTGCATTCTCCTCCGGCTCGGCCCGTGCTCCATAATGGCGCGCTATATTTAGATCCTTTAAATGTTTTATTAGCAGATTATTAGTGGAAGCTGGACGTTTTGGAGCTGCAGCTTCAGAGGCACCATGTGGACCTGCGTGTTCAGCACTTCATTCAGGCATGGAGGGGTAAATAAAAAGGTTTATGAACTCATCTGGTGACGCAGGGATCTTATGATGAGTTCAGAGGAACACTCAGCTGTCTGCAGGGCTGTTTTTGTTTATTGTTGGGTGGATTTGTTGTAGTCTGAAGTGAAGAACAGGTTGTGAAGGCCGCAGCACGTTTAGTTTCACGTCATCGTTTCAGAAGCTACACACAAGCTTCAAGAGGTCTTTCACTGAAAAAACATGACTTCTAATGCTGACGGGTCGCTCTGACTTTAACATGCAGGCTAGACGTGAAAATAGTCTCCTACGCCTATCTCCTGCATTAGCTTCTGATAGAAAATAGACGTCACTGTCACTAACAGGGATGTGTATTTTTGAAATTCTGGCGATACGATACATATCACTATACAGGGGAGACGATACAATATATCACGATATATTGCGATACATTCATTCAGATGTTATGTTCAATAAACAGTCCAAACTGATACGTAACATGTTTAACATGAGGTATCTGAACCATGATGGAGGGATTCACATTTCAGTGGTGGAAACAAAACCCGTTGCTCACTGCTGCCAACTAGCGGGTGGCGATTGAATTGCACAAAACGAAAAGAAAATACACAAAAGTTTGCATGTAAATTCTTTCAAGAATTAGATACACGGCTTTTGAATATTGATGTAATAATCGCAGGAAAAAATATCACGATATATTGCCTTACCGATATTTCCGGTACACGGCTTTTGAATATCGATATAATATTGTTAGAAAAAATATCACGATATATTGCCATATCGATATTTTCTTACATCCCTAGTCAATAACATTCATGGACTCACCCATCTTGGCTCACGATGGGGAAGGCTGTTGTTGGTTTAGCGTCCCGGAAACCGAAAACACAAACATTTTTCTTTGGGATAACTGAATTTTTACGAGCGAGGCTTTAGTTGAGTCACGTGGGGAGACGTCACGGCGTCAGACTTGTGGCTAAATTTACTCTTATTACATTAGTAACTTGTCCTCCAACTCTTCCAAAGGCTTCTGGAACTTTCTGACTCACAGAAACTGAGTTGAAAAGAATTTGGGATGAACTTTTTTTATCAAGCGAGGGCAGAGAAAGGCCCTGAGACTTGTGCAAGGAGTCAGGAACCTTATGAGACCTTTTGGAAACAACATGAAGTTGGTTTGCAATTTAATGTTCAACAATCACAGTTAAAGAGCAAGTCACCCCCTACCAGAGTATTACTCCACTCCCACTTCCTGTTTGAAAAATGCAACAAATGCACACACCCACTGGCTCACAACGACATTGTGACATCATATGGTACTAACGTCCTAGGGTACCTCTTAGCCAATAGCGGTGGCAGATTTAAATTAAAATGCAGTGCAGAGTTTTTACCTGACGACGGCACAACACTGACAGTTTTAGGCAGAACATTTAAATTTTAACTAAAATCCACTAAAGTGCAAAACTGTTGACGACACGTGTCTGCAGCACGATTAGACACACATTTATATAGTTTATCAGGAAAAAAATAAATTTGGGGGTGACTTGCTCTTTAAGAGAGAGGATGGTTTTAGGAAGAAGTGAAACCGACTTTTTGACCTGATGTTAGATCTTCAAGCCACAAGTTCATATTTGTAGATGTAGTTATTACATCTGTGGTAGCTGAAGAGCACACGAGTCTTGGCCGGGTGCACATCTGCAACTGGTTAGTGAAATTCAACATGGCCGACGCTGCTAGTCGTTCTGGTATTACTGGATTATCTCTGGTTACACAACTGTCAGGTTGAAGCTAAAGTCCCATTAGTCATCACACACAGGTGAAGTTACACCTCCACATGTGACCCGTCCCCGTGGGAAGTGGTGAGCTGCAGCTGTCGCCGCGCTCGGGAACGATGTGGTGGTTTAACCCCCCCCCCCCCCCCCCCCCCCCCCAATCCAACCCCTTAAAGCTGAGTGTCCCTTAAAGGGAGGCATTGGGTCCCGACCGGGACTCGAACCCCCATCTCCCAGACCCAGGGACAAGTCTCCACCACTAGGCCACTGAGCTTTCCAGAAATGATCAGCCTTTGATATTTTAAATGTAAGGAAAATGGGAGAAGCGGGAAGCGGATAAGAAAGACAGAGTTTTAGTTTGAAATCGTTCCCAAAGTTTAGTTCAGGCCCGAAAACGGAGAATCAATGCAGACAGAAAGTTCTCAGAAGTCTGGAGAAGGACCCAGTTCCTCCTCACGTCACAAACCACATGACCCTCATCCTGATGGTGTGTGTGTGCGTGCGTGTGCGTGTGTGTGTGTGTGTGTGTGCGTGTGTGTGTCCAGAGGGCAGAACTCTGCGCTCCGTCTCACTCCACACCCCTGAGGTGAATAAACACACTAATATTTCACCTTTTGTCTCCGTTTCTGACACTGTTCCTCCAGTTTGGACCAACGTGGAGCCGCGCTCCGTGCCAGTGTTCCCTTGGCATTCACTCATCCCTTTCCTGGAGCCCAGCCAATCAGGAGCAGCCGCCCCGCCTGCCGATGGCCAGCAGCTCGTCAACCAGAGCAAAGGTAGCGACGTGACCAAGCAGAACCACTACGGTTATCACCAGCCGGTTCCTGTCATGGATGAGTTTCCACTTGTGCTTTATTCCAGTAGCTCTGCTGATTTTCACCTGAGAGCAGGAGGTTACAGTCAGTCGTCCAATCAGGATTCAGATCTTCTCTTCATTCATACAGATTTATGCTTCTGCAGTTATCCATGTTTGTGGAAACAGAAACACCCACGCGGGATTTTTAAGCATTAAAACAACTTGGGGGTCTAGATGACGTGTGCTGATCGTGTTTTCAGCTCTAAGAGGGATTAAAGACCTTTTCTTGGGCTCGGAAAAGTCGAGAGAACCTTTAGTTTGGTTTGATGTTGAGATTTTATCAGATGAAAACTTCCAGCTACCGCGGTGACAGCTCCGCCGACCATGTTTGATGTTTTGTTCAGTTGGACGACTGCTCTCTGAAAGCTGAGGTGTGATTTTAAACGATGACACGGCGCTTTCCCCCCCACACAGAGCCTTGCTGTGGCGTCGCCCTAGTGAGCGAAGGCCGGACGGGACCCCAGGACTCGGACCGGAGCTCGCCGTCCTGCCCTCCCCCGACCAACGACAATCCTCCAGCAGACCGGGGCGGGGCGGACAGCGAGACGGAGAGCGACACCGACGACCCGTGAGTTTGTTGCATGTTTTTTTTTTTATTCACCAGAACATGTGGCCCGCTAAACGAGACGTGATTTAAGAAGCCCTCAGGGAAGCTGCAGCTAACAACCCGACAGGAGGAGAAGAGGCCGTGATTGAGTTTAGATCCTGCTGTGGAGCTGCTCCGTGCGCGCCACGCTGAAAAATGAGGCCATGGCTCCGGTCAGACAGTGGAAACTGGCTGCTGATGAGGAGAGTTGTTTACAAGTGCAGTGATTTATTTCTGCTGGCTGTTTACAAGCAGACGTGGGGATTTATGAGCGCTGGAAACCACACAGACGCCGTCACAACGGCCTCCCTAACTGCCTGGGTGCCAGCTCACTCACTCTGACACCTTCTGTAGGTGGTTCTACTAACGCAGGGTTGGTTCTTTCTGGCTAAAAGTGGAAGTGAAACCTGCTTTAAGATGTTATTTACAGTCGCGGTGAGTCCGTTTTAGGGTTTATGTTCCTCAGCCTGGAGCTGCGGATGTTTTATTAACCAGTCGTCGTCATGAGTCGGTTTGCTGCTCCGGAGCACGCAGCTGCGTGTTGACAGGAGGACGAAAGCCACCAGGAATCTCCTCGGAGAAGCTGCTGTTGCTTCCTGGTCATCAGGGAAGGGCCAGAGTTCAGCTCCCAAAGAAATAAACCCTGGAGCTCCATCTTCACCTCTATATCAGTTAGCAGGTCAAAGGTCATGACAGGACCTCTGTCTTAAACATCCTGGGGTCAGGTTGGTTAAGTTTCATCTGGAAGAACTACAGACTTCTGGATCAACGACCCAAAGATGAGCTGCTTACCCGTAATGCCCTGCAGTAGGGAGGTGGAAGGCTGATGGTTTGGGCTCCTCGTAGAGTCCACCAGGAACTCCTGGGGAACCATTTGTATGAACTCTGGACCAAAACGGGTCAGAACAACGCCAGACACGCCAGATCCCGACCGGAATGCTGGATCTCCAAAGAGCAGAACTCTCGGGAGGTTCTGTTGGGTCGTCAGGTTTTCACTCGCAGGTTTTTATTAAATCGTTGATTTGGTTAAACTGGTTTCAAAAACAAAATTTAAAAAACTAAAAATAAAGATTTTAGATGAAAACCCGAACTCCTGGCCTACGGGTGAAAGAAGCCGGCCTTTAGAGTGATGTCATGAATGTTTCCTCGTGATGATTCACTCGTTAGTTTGATTAAGGAACGCTGCAGCCCAGCCCTCCCCAGCAGGTTGGATGAACTCTCGTTGTTTTAATTTAACTTTATTGTTTTTGTTTGCTGAACGACGGCGGAGCGACAGCTGGCGTCAGCCTCGCCTGTCTTACTTCCTTTCTGCCGCTCTGCGTATGACTCATGAAGTGGGTGGCATCTGTGCTCAGACGCAGCTCGTCGTGGAGTTTCCAAACTCGAGGTTTGGATCAGGTGCTCTGAAACCCGCCCTCGCCTGCACATCTCTTTTGCATCAGCTGTTCGAGTCCGTCTGGCGGTAGTTGGTGTGTAGTTGGTTCGCTCCTCTCAGGCTGCAGCTGGCTGGCTGACTCAGACGGGTCGGCTGTCTGGTTTGAACGTTTCAGGGTCAGCGCGCTCTCCAAGGCTGCCGGCTCCACAGACACTCGCTGTTGCACCTGCTTTCTCCTCCTCCGCCTCTGCAGCACCAGCAGCTTTAACGAAAACACCGTCGCCACGTCGGTTAACCTTCAGCTCTTCTTTTTGTTTGTTAACGGAAGGAAACCAGAACGCCCCCGCGTTTAACGTTTAAAGCCCGTCTGACGTCGTTCTGATCATTCGGACCTTCTACCCTTCCAGCACGACCCACACCTGCACACCTTTCATATTTAACCATCTTTATTTAATAGGAATCTTCAGCAAAACATCTGGAATGAAGCTTAAAACCCCAAAAAGTTTTACACACAGTTGGTGAACTTTACTGTTTCATTTCCTGTTTGTCCTTAATGCTGCGTCATATCTGCTGGTTTTATTTTTGTTTACCTTTTTATGCACCAGTGTTTGTTTATTTATTTAACACCAGATGATGGTTGTTTGCTCGGCAGCACACCTTTTCCCAAAAAGCAGAGAGAAAACACTTCAGCAGAATCATGAGTCTGATTGAGTTTTAACTGCGAAGATGAATCTCGTGCACCTCTGAAGCCCCTGAGCCTCAGACAGGACCGTTGTCTCGCTGCGTCCCACCAAACCGACCCAGATCCTCTGAAACGACGCCTCCACTCTGAAAACAGCACAACCACAGCTTCATGCGTCTGAAGCAAACACCACGTCTGTGGCAGCGATCTGAAGCTGTCACTCAGAAGCTCCCTCTGGTTCTGGTTCTGTTGACAGAACCTGTAAGAACCAGACGAGAGTGACTTTGGATCATTTCCAACACTTTTCTTGCAGATGTTTTGCACCAAATATGTCTCTGACGCTTTCTGAGTTCAGGCTGGGGTTTGTAGCGTGATGTCATCAAGTAGAGGAGGAGGAGCAGCCACAGCTCCGCCCCTGCTCCCCCTCCCGTTCTGAAAGCCACGCCTCATACTGCACACTCATGTAGCCTTGTAGCGCTAACGGACAGGAAATGCTCGACAACGGGTCTGCAGGAGCTGCTGAGCAGGGAAACATCTAAAACCAGCTGGAATCTGACACCCGTGATGCTAGCACAACGCTAAAGCAGGCTAGCGATACGCTCCATTACATGAAGATAAATCCCTTTTCATCCCCCACCCTCCACAGTTAGCTCAACGCTTACAGCCTTAGCATTCAAGCTAGGCTGGTGCGCTAAGCTGACTGAGGCGCATGGATAAGCAGTTCTATTGGTTCTGCTGTAGAGGCGGGGGAGGGGCTGTAGAACGGGCTCAGATAGTCAGAGTTAAAACTACGTACATCAGAATAAATAAGAAACTTTTATTTGTTTATTTTAGAAGTGACTGATAAATCTGCACCAAATGGCAAAACTTGGAAAACCAGAATCAGCTCAGACTGAGAGACCATCTAAAGGCTCAGGAGCCTTTACAGATGTTCTGGATTCATCAGCTGATCAGTGTGTGACACTTGGAGTCTAGAGCTGTCTGATATTCTGAATGTGGGGTTTTCCTCAGCTGTTAGCCACAATCATCACTATTATTACAGATAAAGGCTGAAACATCTGGATTAGCATGGATTAAGTCGTCTCATAGATTAGCTTTACCTTCTGGGTTGGATAACCCACCTAAAAGAACTCTTGCTCCAGATTCTCACTTCTGTAGTTTCACCTAAATCTCATAACAAATCTGGGAGCGCTTTACTTACTACATGCTTGGAAACTCAGTCGTGATCCTTTCCCAGACTGAGGAATGTCCCTCGATTCCATCCCTGGTTTTACTTTCCTTTTCTGTGACGACGCAGGTTTTCTCCCGGTGTGGCCAACGACCCGTCTCCGTCCACCGGACCAATCAAGAGACGCACCCAGTCGCTCAGCGCGCTGCCCAAAGATGGAGACAGGAAGGTCAGTGAGTTTTCCATCACAGCAGGAGCAATGAGGTGCCTGAACGCCACAACAAACACATGTTTCTTCCTGAAACACAACCAGAGGGAAAAGGACCACATCCGCCGGCCCATGAACGCCTTCATGATCTTCAGTAAGCGCCACCGGGCGCTGGTGCACCAGCGACACCCCAACCAGGACAACCGGACCGTCAGTAAGATCCTGGGGGAGTGGTGGTACGCTCTGGGGCCCCACGAGAAGCAGCAGTACCATGACCTGGCCTTTCAGGTGACCCTAAAACCCGTCCCAGGTGTGAGCTGAAGGTCTGACAGCTTTTCTGAAGTCTTCTCCTCCTCCATCAGGTGAAGGAGGCCCACTTCAAAGCCCACCCAGACTGGAAGTGGTGCAACAAAGACCGCCGGAAGTCGCTGTGTGACGGCCGGGGAACTCCGAAGGAGCTGCGGGAGAGGAGCATGTCCGAGAGCATCGGTGTGTGAGAGGAAAGATCTGAGTAATGTTTTAGTTCAGCCTGATCGTTTTCATTTCATTCACTTATAAATCCCCTTCTGCGACCGATGCAGACGCCCACGGTGCTGAACACAACACAATAAAAACATAAAACCATCAGAATAAAATATAACAATCGTAAAACCAACATAAAATCAATTAAGAGAGTAAAAGCAAAAAATAAAATCCTGAACAAGATTATGAGGCCGGGGCGTCGAAACCGGGTAAAATTTGCTAATCCTGGAATGCCTCGACTAAAAAATGGGTCTTAAGGCAAGTCTTAAAAACCCCACTGAGGGTGACTGGCGCACCACCAAAGGCAGCTGGTTCCACAGTGCAGGTGCCAACACCGAGAACGCACGGTCCCCCCGTGACCTGCACTCAGTGCGTGGAAAGATGAGCAGCTCCCTGCCGGCTGAGCGAAGGGCCCGCGAGGGGGCGTGTCTACGCAACAGGTTGCCAAGATATGCTGGAGATGTTTCGTGTAAGGCCCTGTAGGCCAGCACCAAGACCTTGAATTGTGCCCTGGATTGCACAGGCAGCCAATGAAGGGATGCCAACACGGGGGTGGCATGTTCCCTGCGCCTAGTGCCGGTCACGAACCTAGCGGCTGAGTTTTGTACTAACTGCAAGCGTGCTACCGCACCCTGACTAAGGCCGGCATTCGGTGCACTGCAGTAGTCGAGCCTTGAAAGAACAAAAGCGTGTGTGACGGTCTGGACAGCAGGGGCTTAACTCTGGCTGGTCGGCGTAAGTTAAAAAAACACGATCGCACAACCTGGTTGATTTGCACGTCGAATTTAAGGACCGAGTCCAGTTTTAGTCTCAGGATTTAAGAAATTTATTATTTAGCTTTCTTATGTGATTTTGTTTAGTTTTGTTCATTTTTATTGAATCTTTAGTTTTTTTTATACGACTCAAACGAGAGAATCTTTGATGTTTTTCTGCTGCATGAATTTGGTTTGATTCTGATCGGATGAGATAAAATAATAAATATATTTTTAACGGTGATGATTCTTCTCTGATATCTTTTAGTTTGATTAATAAACGGATTTATGTCTTTTATATTATAGCAACAAAGGAAGTGAGGATTGTTCCACATGAACGCAGAATTATCGGAATAAATAAACCTGAAAAACACTAAAAATCTCATTAACGTGAAGGAAAAGCTGTGAACTGAGTTCAATCTTATTTCTAGAACTTTATGTATAAAGTCTGACTTTCCTTTAGTTTTATTCTGCCAGTTTTTGGAGCTGAAAACCCTAAAATGACCTTTTTCTGTTTTATACAAGCAGAAAGTTTTATTGATCTGAGGTTTCATTGATCCGTTCCACGAAGAGTCTTTCTTCTCCCCCCCAGACGCCCTGTCGGAGTCTCAGGTGCTGGACGGGAGAGGAGGAGGAGGCGGCGGCAGCTCCGGCTGGCCGGGGGGGTCGGAGCGTCGAGCGGGGGCTCTGGGGGGACAGCACCCCCGTCCTCGAGCCTTCTCCCAGAGTGCTGTGCACACCCTGGAGCAGAGGGAGAGAGACCAGGAGAAGGTAGGAGGCTGTTAATCTCTATCTCCGAGGCAGAGAAACGACTCTGGAGACCCAGGAGGAGCTCTGGCTGTCTGCTAAAGAACAAAACTGCCTTTATTCAGTAAAAAAGCTTCATTCATCAGCTGCATGTTTAGTTTTTAAACTAGTTTCGTTCTACAAAAGCATCTAAGAGCCTAAATAAAGGGACGAGCAGAACTAAACACACAGCAGACTGACTCACGAGCGTCCTTCACGCTGCAGAGACGTTTTGATTCAGCTGTTCAGAACGAGATCAAAAGGACTCGCTGGTGTCTTTGTGTGAGATCTGAAGCTGCTGCTGCTCCACTGGATGTTCTGCAGGGGAGCGAGCAGCCTCCAACTTCAGAGCTTTCTCTGCCGTTTGAAGCGAAGGCGAGGAGTTTCACGTACGAGAGCTCGCAGGCTGGCCTCGCGTGCTTCCCGGAGGGATTGGAGGTGACTAGAGGAGGTCATGAAACCTGGAGGAGGACAGCGGCCGTCTGGTTTTTTAAATGAATCTTCTAGATTTCTGAAGTCCTAAAAGTTTAACGGATCTTTTTAGCCGGTTTCTACTTTCTTTCTTTTTTTCATTCGTTGACAGAAGAGATGATTTTGTGTCTGAACGTTTTACCTAAACAAACTAAAAATAGGACCTTCTCTCTGCTCTGTCAGGAGGACAGATCGAGCTTGTTCCGAAACCGGCCGCCGTCGCTGTGCCAGGGCGGAGCCAGCGAGGATGTGACCAGCGACGAAGAGCGGATGGTCATCTGTGAGGAAGAGGGGGATGATGACGTGATGGGTGAGTCACGGTTGAACAGACTTCCTCATGACCACGAACGGTTTCAGTTCTGGTGACGGTCAGGAGCGTCGGTGTCAGCGATACGCTAAAACAATCAATCAAATCAATCAAAGCATTATTTATAAAGCGCCTTCCGCGAGAAGCCCAAGGCGCTGAACACAGAGAGAAACAGGTAAAAACATTAAAGAAGAAAAGCAAACGGGTAAAACGAGAGATAAAGAGAGCGATGACAGCAGGGAATTAAAATCAACATAAAAGAGGGCCAAATTCAAACACGTTCAAGGAACGCCAAGCGGAGGAGGTACGTTTTTAGGCAACTCTTAAAGACTGGCAGAGATGGGGACAGCCTGACTGAGGGTGGCAGCTGGTACCAGAGTGACGGTGCTAGGACTGAGAAAGCCCGGCCCCCGCGAGTACGACACCTAGAACGAGAGACGGCGAGCAGGCCTTGTTCAGAGGAGCGCAGAGCGTGTGATGGGGATTGTCTGTTCAGGAGTGTGGCCAGATAGGGGGGACCACCACCCTGGAAGAAATTAAAAACAAAGACGAGGAGTCTGAATTGTGAACAATAACAAACCGGAAGCCAGTGCAGGGAGGCCAGAACCGGACTGATGCGGTCCCGTTTCCTGGTCCCAGTCAGGAACCTGGCGGCGCTGTTCTGCACAACCTGTAGGCGACGCAGTGTTGACTGACACAACCCTGCATATAGAGAGCTGCAGTAGTCAAGCCTAGAAATTACAAAGGCATCCAGTACCCGCTCCAGGTGGGCTCTTGACAGCATATGCTTGATTTTAGCAAGGCGTCTCAGGTGAAAGAAACTGGACCGGATCACAGAGTTGATGTGAGCATCAAATTTAAGTCCTACATCAAGTTTCACCCCCAAACTGGTAACAACTGGTTTTGAGTATGGAGAAAGAGGCCCAAGATCAACATAAAGATCCACATTCCTGCTGTTGGGATGATAAACAACGAGCTCTGTCTTTCCCTCATTCAGATGCAGAAAGCTGGCCATTAGCCAAGACTTCACCTCATTAATACAGGACACAAAGGACTGAATAGAGTGACCTTTCTCCTGACACAATGGAGAGTAAATCTGGCAATCGTCAGCATAGAGATGGAATGATAGGCCATGTTTACGAAAGATTGACCCCAGAGGTAGCAGATAAATGGCAAACTAAAGAGGACCAAGGATCAATCCCTGCGGGACCCCCCAGCGGAGCCCCTCCCAAAAAGAAAAAACATCACCCAGTTTAACACAGAATGTCCTGTTGTGGAGATATGATCTAAACCAATCCAGAGCTGACCCTTTGATCCCAACCCATCGTTCCAAGCGATCGAGTAGAATCGCGTGGTCGACTGTGTCAAAGGCTGTCGTCAGATCTAACAACAGAAGCAGCACAGATGTTCCCTGATCTAGTGATAGATAGATGTCATTTAGGACCCTCAGTAGAGCAGACTCTGTGCTATGGCCAGACCTGAACCCTGATTGGAAAACCTCAAACAGATCAGAGTCAGCTAAATGTGAGACCAGCTGCTGATAAACGGCTTTCTCAAGCAGTTTAGATGTAAAGGGCAGGGTAGAGATAGGCCTGTAATTTTCTATCACAGAGACATCAGCACCAGGTTTCTTCAGGGTCGGCCGAATAACTGCTGCTTTCAAAGCTGCTGGGACCACACCTGTGCTGAGGCTCCCATTGATAATCTGACCAAGTGAAGGGCCAAGGCACGGAAAGGCAGCCTTCCAGAGACGAGGCGGCAGAACATCAAGTGGAGAGCCAGATGGCTTCTGCCTCGCAACAAGCTTACTCAGCTCAGAGTATGAAACTGTATGGAGGGAGCTCAGGGTGGGTGGTAATGGATGAACTGGAACAGGGTCAACAGAGTTACCAGAAATAGCTGCTCTAATGCCCGACACTTTATCAACAAAGAATCTGTGAAAAGCTTCAGAGTTTCCAGCAGCTGTAGGAGACATGAAGCTAGGCTCCTGATACACCAGAACAGAGTTCAGTGTTTTGTAGAGAATCCTGGGATTATTGGAGTTTGTCTCAATGATGTCTGCAAAATAGGCCATTCTGGCAGCCCTCACTGCATCCTGATAAGCAACCAGAGATGCTCTGAACAACTCACGCGAGACCTGTAGGCCATCCTTTTTCCACTTTCTCTCAGAGGATCTACACGCCCGCCTGCAAGCCCGTGTGACATCAGAGAGCCAAGGCTCCCTCTTAGGCTGAGACTTGCACAGTTTGAGAGGGGCAACCACGTCCAGGACCTGATTACAAAGTACATCAACGTGTTGTGAATAGTGATCAACGTTAGATGGATCTGGGTTAAAGGTCTCTAACCTTACAGACATACAGTCCACAAACTTTGCAACAGTTTCTGCATCCAGGGCTCTGAACCTAGTAGCTGGAGCTTCACACACAGGGACAGGACATGGCAACGTAACATCACAGAGTATAGGAGAGTGGTCAGAGAACACAGGAGGCAAAATCTCAAGGTTCATGACTGGGAGACCAAAAGAGAGAACCAGGTCCAGGGTGTGACTCCTGGCATGAGTTGGGGACGATACCCATTGAGTTAAATTGAATGAATCTAGCAAATTCAGAAAACCTTTAGCAAGCACATTGTCAGGACAGCAGATATGGATGTTAAAGTCCCCAAAAAATAGGACATAGTCATATTTTAGGATGCAGTCTGCCACAAGGTCACAGAAATCATTAAGGAAGTTAGAGTCAGTCTTTGGAGGCCGATAAATCAGCACGACGAGCAGGAAAACAGTCGAGCTGTCGCCTCGTGAGGCACAACTTCAGACGACATTTACAAAAACAAACGCGTGATTTAGTCCTCGCTGGTGGACGGGGAAGGAGTTTCTTTAAAATGTGTCAAACCTGACCTCAGATCAGTTTTGTTACACCTCATCATTTCATTAAAGACTCCAGAAACACTGAGTGAAAATCCTTACAGAGCAGAAGGTTAAAGGTCATGGCAACGCAAAGTTTTCATGAAAAGAAAACTTCTTTGTCGTTTTGTCTCATAAAGCCTGAAGACCTTTTGTATTTTTTGCAGTGTTTTATTTAAAATGAAGTTGCTGATTCTCGTGTTTCATCTGCAGAAGATTCGTGTCCAGAAAACGCCATCGACCTCAAGTGTAAAGAGAGAGTGACGGACAGCGATGAGGACGAGGCGGACGGCCCGGTTAGTGCTCATCGACCCGCATCGTCGTCATAGAAATATTTAATACTACTAATAATAAATCTTTTTTGTTATTAATATGTTTTCATAAAGATAATATTAATATGTGAAACATGCTTGGCTGCTCAGTCACCAGTAAGAACCAATAGGGACCAGTAGGAACCAGTAGAAACCAGCAGGAACAAGTAGGAACATGTATGAATCAGTAGGACCATGTAGGAACCGGTAGGAACAAGGAGGAACCGGAACCTGTAGAAACATGTAGGAACCTGTAGGAACATGTAGGAACCTGGAGTAACCAGGTGAAACCTGTAGGAACCGGTTGTAACCAGTAGGAACAAGTAGGAACCGGAACCTGTAGAAACATGTAGGAACCTGTAGGAAGATGTAGGAACCAGTAGGAACCGGAACCTGTACAAACAGTAGAAACCTGGAGTAACCAGGTGAAACCTGTAGGAACCGGTAGGAACAAGTAGGAACCGGAACCTGTAGAAACATGAAGGAACCTGTAGGAACATGTAGGAACCTGGAGTAACCAGGTGAAACCTGTAGGAACCGTTAGGAACAAGTAGTAACCCGGTACCTGTAGAAACATGTAGGAACCTGTAGGAACATGTAGGAACATGTGGGAACCAGTAGGAACCTGTAGGAACTTGTAGGCACCTGTAGGAACCGGTAGGAACATGTAGGAACAAGTAGGAGCATGTAGGAACCAATAGGAGAACGGGAAGGAACCGGTAGGAACTGGTAGGAACCTGCAGGAACCGGTAGGAACCAGTAGGAACGGGTAGGAACATGTAGGAACTGGTAGGAACAAGTAGGAACAGGAACCTGTAGAAACATGTAGGAACCTGTAGGAACATGTAGGAACCTGGAGTAACCAGGTGAAACCTGTAGGAACCGGTAGGAACCAGTAGGAACAGGTAGGAACAAGTAGGGACGAGTAGAAACATGTGGGAACCAGTAGGAACAAGTAGAACGGGAAGGAACCGGTAGGAACCGGTAGGAACTGGTAGGAACCTGCAGGAACCGGTAGGAACTAGTAGGAACAAGTAAGAACCAGTAGGAGTAGGAACGGGAAAGAACCGGTAGGAACAAGTAGGAACTGGTAAGAGCCTGTAGGAACAAGTAGGAACAAGTAGGAACCAGTAGGAGTAGGAACGGGAAGGAACCGGTAGGAGTAGGAACAGGAAGGAAATGGTAGGAACCATGAAGATCTGATGTTTTGTTGTTTCTGAGAATCCTGCTGGCACATTTTTTATTTTTGTTGAGTTGAAGAAACAAACCTTCTTTGATCTCTGCGTCTCTCTTCCCTCCAGCCTGAGTCCCACTCCTCCCTCCCCCCCGACTCCCCCTCAGTCAGAGGGAACAGGGAGGGGGGGGTCACTGAGATGACGAGGAGGAGAGGAGCGGATGGAGGCGAGAAGGAGAGCGAAGGAGGAACCAGAAGAGAGGAGACAGCAGCAGGTGGAGGAGGTGGGCAGAGTGTCACTCAGGTCCTGGGGGGGGTCCACGTGGCTCCCACGATGGTGACCAACGCGGTGCGCCCCGTCCCCATCGCCAGCAAACCAGCGGAGGGCGCCGCCACGCTCAGCTCCCTCCCGCAGGACAACAGAACCACGCTCCTCGGAGGAGGCGGAGCTCAGCACCTGCCAATCAGCGCAGGGGGTGGGTACCTGTCGTCCCCCTCCCCCACGGGTCTGGTCAGTCTAGCCCCAGTGGGGGGCAGCAGCCTGGTCACTAGCCTAGTTCTGGGGGGGTCATTTCCTGCTGCCCAAACCCTACAGCTCATCACCCCTCAACCCCAAACTCACCCCCCCGTCCTCCACCCCCAATTCCACCCAACTGCTGCCTCCTCCCTCACTCCTCCCGCCCTCCCCAAGCCGCTGACGCAGGTGCAGTACGTCCTCCCCACCGACAGCCCGTCCTCCCCCCAGCTCACCCACCAGCACATCCGCTCCCTGCCCACCAACCCCGCCCTGGCCAATGGCGTACAATCGGGGGCGGGGACCGGAGTCGGCCCCGGGACCAGAGGTGAGAGCGAAGGCGACGGTCGGGCGACAGAAAGTGGTTTCAGAGATCTGCAGGAACGTCTCGTTATTCTGTAAAAGTTTATTTTAATAAAACCTGGAGAATTATTCTAGAACGTGTGGGGGGCTCCGCCCACTCACCCCCACTAACCCTGACTCACCCACCCATCTCCGTCTCTCTTCACCTCCTCTCGTCTGCTCCTCACACTCACCTTTCCCTCTCTCTCTCCTCACTCATTAGTCCAAACCCAGTCACCGGTCCTGCAGAGTAAGATGCTGGTTCCCATGGCAACAGTGAGAACGGGGTCTACGCCTCCTCAGCCTGCCATTTCCCTGGTGGCTCCGCCTCTTCCTGTGCAGAACGGCCCAGCGACAGGAAACAAGGTGGGAATATCATCATGGTTAGCAGAACAGAAGGCCTCCTGTTAGGAGAGCTGTTCTGGCCCGGTCCGGTTTCTTTACATTTTCCTCCCAAGCTGCCTGATTGTATCACGATCCTTTAAAATGGTTCTGAGTCCTTTAACCCATTCTCAGAACGCTCCAGAACGCCAGAACCTTCAGGCTCTCTGTCGCAGCGGAGAAAATGGTTCCAGCTCCACTGAGATGATTTCGGGTTTCTCCTCCACAGATCATCCAGATCGCGCCCATGTCTGTGCTGCAGACCAGCGTACATCCCGCCACAGCTGCAGGCGTGCATCCCGGGAGTGCCTTTCCTGTTTCTGTTGCCACGGTGATGGCTCCCGGTGCTGCCCCCCCTCAGACGGTTCTTCTGACCTCCCCACCCACAAGGTCACTAACACACAGTCCATCTTCTTCTCAGTGTTTTCATGATGAACCTTCCCAGTTGCTGGTCTGTGGTTCCAGTCCTGCTGCGTGACCCCTGCAGCATCTCACAGCTGTGGCTAAACTTTCACTCTCCAACTAGAGCAGACAAGTGAAAATCCGCCTTACTTATGCGTCTCGTCTTCCTTAGAATCACCTACGTCCAGTCCAACCCAGGCGTTTCCACGGCAACGCCCCTGCAGGGTGCTCAGCCTCCAGGTCCCGCGTATCTCCCGTCACACCTTACAGCTCTGGGCTTCACCGCCATCTCCGCGTCCGGACCGACGCTGGTTCAGCCCATCGCCGGTCAGCCGCCACTGCTGGCTCCGCCCCTCAGCGGGCAATGCCAGACTCCTCCGGGCCCGACCGCGGCGTCCGCCGGCCATCAGGTAAAGAAAATAAAAGCCACTGACACGTAGTTCCCATGATTCAGCTCAGGTGAACTCACCTGTATGTTCTTCCATGTTTGAGTCATAAATAATCAGGATGTTTTCGCCGTCAGGTGCTAACTGCCGTCTATCCTGCTCAAACCGTTGCTGTGGCGACTGGTGTGGTCTCGGTGCCGGCCTTTCCAGCTCAGGACCGGTTAGACCCGCCCTCCCCGCCGGCCACAGGGTCAGCGGCGGCGACCTCTCAGCCCGGAGCAGCGATGGAGGTGGAGGTGAAACAGGAGAACCAGCTGGACGCTCAGACTGACGGGTCGTGGAGCTCCAGTACAAACTTCTCGATGATCACCTGTGGAGCGACAGGTAAGGCTGCTGAAATCCAATCTGATCCAAAACGTGTCAACGAGCTTTGTGACCCAAAAGACCCTAAATGGAGTCCGTTCAGAACCTGAAAACCAATCAAATAAACAAACACCAGTTATAAACATGTTAATATATTCAATTAATTTCACTTCGGTTTATTTATAAAGCGCCAAATCAGGACATGAGTCGTCTCAAGGCTCTTCACTTTAATAAACGTTCCAACACAGGTCAGGTCATTAAGCCAATCAGTAACAAGTTTCCTATATAAGGAACCCAGCAGGTCGCATCGAGTCACTGACTAGTGTCAGAGTCTTTACAGCAATCCTCATACTAAGCAAGCATGCAGCGACGGTGGAGAGGAAAACTCCCTTTTAACAGGAAGAAACCTCTAGAGAATCCTGGCTCATTATAAGCAGACACACACAACACACACACACAACACACACACACACACACACACACACACACACACACACACACACACACACACACACACACACACACACATTCGTATTTATCCTAGTGGATCTATAATTAAACGGGTAAACTAGTAGTAGCACATTCAACATCAAGGAAAGTAAAAAGTTATTATCAGGAGAGGGAGAATGTTTAAGTGGTTAGCAGCAGTGTGCTAGACGATGGCCCCCTCCATGAGGCCACCACAGCTCAGCAGAACATCGTTGTAGCTTCTTCTGGGGAGAAAAACACTTAGAGAGAAAATAAAGTTAACAGCTGAAATAGCAGGAAATAATACAGTTAAAGAGCAGACTGTAGAAGAAAGCAGTAGAGTGTGAGAAGTGGTCAGTGTATCCTCCAGCAGTCTAAGCCTATAGCAGCATAACTACAGAGATAACTCTGGATAATCTATCCTATTTAGATGGAGGCATGTTGGAGGCAGGGCAAGGGAGAGCCGTCTTTACCGACTGTACACTCCACCTCCCTCTACTCCCCCACTTGTCCAGATTTAGGCTAACATCAGATTTTAATCTGTGTTCATCAGAGATTATTACTTATTTCACATTATCTGCTCGTTTCATTCTAGTTTAGTTTTACTGAGATTTGCTGAAATTATCCCCCAAAAAATGATAAAAAATGTGTTTGTGTAAAATACATGACATAATTATATTACACTGTTATAAATATTAGATTCATGTTATTCAGTTACATCATGTTAGGAATTCTCCAAAACCGTTTAAGATTGCTGTTTAATTTAGCTTCATATGTCCAAGAACCCCTACGAGCATCCATCATCGTCTCTACCTGCTTATCCTCGCAGGGATGCTGGGAACCCAATCGGTTTCTTTTGTAAGGCCCAAAGCGAGCGGGTTGCTGCAGCACCAGAACTTTTCTTGCTAGTTTGTTTAGAGTAAAATATAAAAGGAAATCATTTTTTTCCCAAAAAACGAGTGAAACTAAACAATCTAAATGTTTTCTTTTTGAGGAATAAATGTAAAGTTTTTGTTTTTTGGAGTCCGGTAAGTGCCGGTTCTGAAGAGGAAACGGGAACCTGCAGCGGCTAATGTGACCCGAACAAAAGCTCTGGTTCTGTTTCTGCATAAACAAACACGGATCTTCTGTGTTTCAGTCAAAAAGGAGGAGGACATGGATCTGAGCATCAAAGTAGAAAACATGGGGGAGAAGTACGGCGAGACGGATGAAGAGCGAGACCGAGCGAGAACCAAAGAGACGGAGAAAGACCAGAACCTGGGAGGCAGCAAAGAGGTGACGTCTCCGTCGTCAGCACACTCGCTGGTATTATTCAGGCCTAGTTCACACGTAGCCGGGATTTTTAAAAACGAATATCCACCCAACCAAAAGCTTGCATCCACACCACCTCGTTTAAAAAAAACAAAACTCTGTCACACGTACCCGGATAAATACGTTGTTAAGGACATGCCAGACCTGTAGGCGGCAGTACTTCCCCCGTTCTTAACCTCGTCCTTCGTCTGTGGTCTTCCGCAAGGAGCAGTAATTCCTCTTGCAAAAACAAACAAGCAGAAAGCGCTTGGACAATTGATAAAGCGAGCGCAGCTCTGAGGGCATCCATGATGCCGGCTAGTGTAAACACAGGTCGCACACGTGATGTCAGCATTTTTTTGTCGTGGAAAGTGACGTTGCGGACCTTAAAACTCCAGTTTTGTCTGTCCACACACAGACACCCAAAACGGAGAAAACGCAGATCTTCACTTTGGCCGGAGTTTTTAAAAAGATCCGTTTTCGTGTGAAAAAACTCCGTTTTCGTGTGGATGACGGGCCAAAACGTAGACAAATATCTAGGTTTTGGCAGATCCCCGGCTACGTGTGGACAGGGCCTGAGAGTGTTCCTGGGTGAGGAAGACGTTTCCTCACCCAGGAACCATCCACATGTTGCTCAAGCCTCCCAGTGCAGCTCGCTGAATCCCAGAATCTCCCCCCAGGCTGGACCTCGATCCCCACCTCCTCCACCCTCAGGTTTGGACCCGCCCCCTCCTCCACCAGCAGAAAGAGAAGCCCCCTCATCCTCCAGGAAAAACAAGTTTCGACCCCCCCCACTGAAAAAGACCCCCGAGCCTCATGATAAGTGAGTACGGCGGGTTCTCCTGCTGGTTTAGGCAGAAGGAACTCGTTTGTGTTCATGTTGATTATTTTGGGTCATTTTGGCACGAAGCAGCTCCCATCTGTTAGCTCTATTAACAAATGCAGCGCAGCGTCTCAGAGGCTTTTCAGAACCAACTTCTAGCTTCATCAGGTCACGGTGGGAACTCTGTTTACCGAGTGTGAGTGGGCAGAGTGCCGCAGCCTTCTTTATTTAGACAGAAGCCACGCAGAGGAGGAACCTGCAGCCTGGAGGAGGGAGAAGCACTTCCCTCTGACGGTAAACCACAGCGCCAGTCTGATGCGGCCGACGTGTTCTTGTGCGTGCAGGGTCCTGTCAGAAACGTACTTCGAGGAACGCTTTGCTGAACTTCCAGAGTTTAATCCAGAAGAGGTCCTTCCCTCTCCGACGCTGCAGAGCCTGGCTACCTCACCGAGAGCCATCCTGGGAAGCTACCGCAGGAAGAGACGCAACTCCACGGGTGAGGCGGGAGCACTGGGCGTGTTCTAACATCAAAGCAAAAACTCCTGCTTTAGTTTTGTCTTCTGCTGCAGAAACATGTCTGCGAAGGTTCTCAGTCATCCAGGTCATTGTAGTCTAATGAGCTTTGAAAGAAAAGCGTCTGGACTTCTTTGAGTTGCTTGAAGACGTTTCGCATGGCACAACATAGAAGAGCCACCTCCACGGGACAGGACTCAGCAGTTCATTTGCATCTAAAGGACAAAGGTCACTCTTTCGAGGATGCCAACGTTCACATTTTGGACAGAGAGGACAGATGGTTTGAAATTTATGTCCACTGTGAGCAACCATCTTTGAACAGAGGCGGTGGTTTACGACACCAACTGTCTGCCACCTATAATCCAGTTTTGAGATCCCTTCCCAGATGCCTCAACGCCCACGCATATCCTGGGCCATCTGACCTCAGGAATTCACATGATAGGGTGGGGCCAGGCTTCACAATGAGCTCACCAGAAACTGGCTGAATAGGACCCACACCCACCCTCACACCTTGGCTCATAGAAGATCATCAGGGGGTCTTTTGTTCCCTCTTCGGGGGGGACTCCCACTGGGTTTAAATCTGGGACTCTCCACCATTTGACCTCAGAACTGAAGAAGCCTCTCGGATGAGAGGTGAAACGTCTTCAAGCAACTCAAAGAAGTCCAGACGCTTTCAAAGCTCATTAGCCTGCTGCAGAAACATAATAAACCTTTGCAACCCCGCTGGATCCAAAGATAGCAACACGCTTCTCCACTCTTTCTAGTAAAGTTCATCCACGCAGGCGTTTTAAATGAGCTCAGGTGATCCCAGCCGATGCTAGCTGCCTTGTAACCCACATTTTTCATCGTTCTCCGTCTTCATGCTCCGGTTCGCTCCAGACCTCGACGCGCCCGCTGACGAGCCCGGCTCACCGCGGAGAAAGACTCGCCGTCTCTCCAGCTGCAGCTCAGAGCCCAACACCCCCAAGAGCGCCGCCAAGTGCGAGGGAGACATCTTTACCTTTGACAGAGCAGGTGAGGTTCCACAGGTGCGCCATCAGCACCAGGGGCCAGAGATCTGAGCAGGTATCACCAGTTATCACCGCATCCGTCTCTCTAAGCAGGTCCAGAAGGAGACGTCCCTCCGGGAGACCTGGACAGGGGTCCTTACTCCTCTCTGCGTAGGACACTGGATCAGCGTCGAGCGCTGGTCATGCAGCTGTTTCAGGAACACGGCTTCTTTCCTTCAGGTAGATTCGACCCAGAAACAGCTGGTGGTGATTTTTGTCTGCTCTGATTTATGTTCCGATCCAGAACTTTTAGATGTGATTGGACACCCTAAAAACCCTTTAGATGCTGAAATACGAAATATAAATAATGATTAAATTGAGTTTTAAAAAATACACCTTTAGTGTGACCACAACAAAACAATATGTTTTATAGTGTATAACAGTCGCAGTAAAACCGAGGTAAAAGTGGCCCTGCCACCTGTAGATCCTCCACCAGGGGGCAGCAGACACATATAGGACTACAGCCGGTTACTGATGAAGGTACTAATCCTGATGCTCCAGCTGGAGGATTTAAAGAGCAAGTCACCCCCCGTTACGTCCCCGACTGGTGTAAAAATGTGAAGGATGGGGGTAACATAAGAACTGGCGGAGGAGTTTAAAATGGGTTTATTTGTAACAAAAAGGTATTAAAAACACAAGCAAACAGATCTCTCTAAAAGGTCAACATTACACAGCAAATTATATAACACCTGGTTAAAACTTGTATTAAAAGCTTAACCGAACAGGTGTTGTAAAATCCTGAAGTTGATAAAAGTTCCAAAACAATCCACTGACTAAAAACAGCTGGTAAAAACTTATTTTAAAAGCTTCACTACAACGAAAGGTGTTTCAAACCGAGGTCAGTAAAATTGCCACAAACAAAGTTAACCTTAAAACCAAACAGCCAAAAGATCCCACTGGATCATCCCAAAACTTCCCACTTCAGAGTTCAAAACTAAACCAAAGTTTAAAACTCATCCACATAAATCTAAACGAAAGGGGTCCGGTCCAAACCAAACCAAACCAAACCCCAGGAGGACAGCAGAACCCCTGCACTGCTGCCTCCCAGACTGCTGAAGGCACAGCCTTTTTATACAGGTGTTGGCAACCGAGGAAGATGCGGCTCAGCTGTGCTCCTCAGCAGCCCGGGAGAGAGGAGGAGGAGGGGCGGCGTCAGGCTGTTTCACCAGAGCTGGGTGATCCTGGCTCCTGCTCTTCCCTGGCCAGACTGTAACACCCCCAAATCACCTTTTTTTTGCTGATAAACAATAAACGAGTGTCTAATCGTGCTGCAGACACATGTCGTCAATAGTTCGGCACTCATATTTAAACAGGGAAACATTCTGCACTGTATTTGAATTTAAATCTGGCACCGCTATTGGCTAAGAGGTATGCTATGATGTTAGCTTGTACATTATGATGTCACAATGTCGTTGTGAGCCTGTGTGTGTGTTTGTTAGCGGCTCTGCCCTCTCGGTCTGCTAGGCAACAGCATTTGTTGCATTTTTCAAACAGGAAGTGGGAGCGGAGTAAGACTCTGCTAGGGGGTGACTTGCTCTTTGAGACCAGAAAGGGTTTGATGGGAATTTTCAGCAATAATCTACAAGATAATAGTAAAATAAAATAATGACTCAGCAAATTTCTGCACATAGAAACTCCTTATCAGACTTTGCATCAAATGAACAGTTTAACCCTTTGATGCATAATGGTCACTACAGTGGACAGGTACTCAAAATTGTTATTTATTTGTTTTTGCTATTAAGCACAGCTGTTGAAGACTTTATTGTATTTGAGCCCCTCCATTTGGACTTCAGTAAGTCAAGCCAACATATTTCATGTTCAGAATGCACGTGGTCCACTAAGGTGGACCTGTAATAAATTATTTGTAAATTATAAAATGTTACAAAAAATATTTGTTGAAATTTGTTTCATTCACACCTAAAGACGAATGAAAAAAATTGTTTAAAAAATCATGGCTGAAGATTTCATAATTCATGCATCAAAGGGTTAAAAGTTAGTTTCTGTAACGTGTCAGGTTGGGGGGGGGGGTACTGCTTCCCTCGTCCTGACGATGACTAAATTCAAACAACACATAAACGGATTTAGAATTTAAATAATAAGACAATTTAAAATATTCAAAAGACAAAGAAAGAAATTCTGTTATAAGCACATAGTAGCTCCCTACACCCTCTGGATACTCGCTCGTGTACTTTTGTTCTACTTATATCACTTCCATCACCTTCTGTGTCCTTACCTCTTCAGCTCAGGACACGGCTGCCTTCCAGGCTCGCCACTCGGACACTTTCCCCACCAAGGTGTGTCTGCAGCTCAAGATACGCGAGGTTCGTCAGAAGATCATGCAGACGGCCACACCTGGGACCCTGGAGCTGGGAGGGTTATCCGAAGCCAGCCCCGCCCCCAGCCACTGCTCCTCCTCTAATCAATCAACGCGAGAGGACGGAGGGCCGGAGCATCAAACCGAGAGAGGCCAGAGCCCGGAGGAGCCGAAACACGAAGGATCGTAAACCGACGAGGATCACGAATCGGAAAATTCAAAAACGAAGCAAATAAAAGAGAGAAGAGTGTGTGAACCAGTACGACAGATCTCCATCAGACAACAACACAGAATATTCACAGGAATCAAGACGTGCTTCGATGGTCTCATCAGACCTTTAGGTGTTCAGATCACGTGCAAGCCCTGATCAGTTAAGTGCTTCTTCTAGTTCATGTTCTCCAAAAATCCTGAATGTTTTACGGAAATTTTTACCCAAGTCTGCTCTCAGCACGTCACCGAGTCAGACCCTCTGTGGTACACACACTCTGTCCCTCTGCCACTCACACACCTGATGCATTTGTAATCTCCGGTGTGATCCCACACACACGTTTTACCAAATCAGACTGTTACTCTTGGTTGTCCGTGTCCAGGAGCTGCAACCACGGACCAGGACACACAGAGGCACTTTGTCACTTATGGTGCAGATGCAGTTTGCTGTTGCCAGCCAGTTACCCCTCAGACGCCATCGACCTCCTCCTCCTCCTCGCCCTTCCACTCCTTAGCACCGTGGTTGGGCCACTAACACAACCCCAACGACCTCCACTGCTACTCCACAGCCCCTCGATGCTGCAGGACAGACGGCGCACGCACGCGCACGCTCAGCGTGAGCGCTCACACTCGGAAACAGTCAACCCTGGTGTGACAAAGCCATCGGCCTGCACACTTTCTAGTGATTGTAGTGAGGAGAGAAAGACGAAAGCGTGAACCGGGATGCAGTGTGACCAATCTTTGCACCTTCAGTTTTTGCCGCTTCGGCAGACTCGGACCGACCGGGCAGGAGCGGATTATCTGTGTCTGTGCGTCGGAAACAAACTGTGTGAACGTCACCGTGAAGAGATTGTGTATAGACACTCGTGGTTGCAAGGCTTTGAAGAGCTAATCTCAGAGAAAAGACGAAGGACGAAACTGGACGGTGCAGGAGTCCAACAACACCACGAGCTCTCCAGCCCGGAGAACTTCCCCCTCCCGGATGGACATGACGTTGCTTTCTCTTGTTGTTGTTGCCGTGGAAATAACCAGTTTTACCGTGGCCTGTTCTTCTCTCTTGTGGCTCTATTGTGTTTCTTCTCCAGCATAAACAAATCACAACAATGACAAATAATAATTAAAAAAAGAGACTTTGGAAAAAGAAGGGGACAAAAATCAGCCTGCACCCTCCCCCATCCCTCCCTTCTCCCCCCTCCTCTACGGTTTCTCACGCGACGCAGGAGTCGGGGGGGGCAGGGGCATTTTGTAAAACGTTGAAATCAGGTGTTTGCACAATTCTTGTTGGGGATCGCCACAAGTGAAATCAGGAAAGTATTGTTTTTAGAGCTTGTTTTAGTAGTTCCTTACGTTATCAACCACATTTCTCTCTCTTCCACTCACCCCCCTCCCCCTTTCGCCTCCTCCTCCTTCCTCTCGGACTCTCCTCACCCCTCCGTGTTGTTGAAAGTGCCCTTAAGCACTGGTCCCGGGTCAAGCTCAGGATGGTTCTGGTTAGGGTTAGTTCAGGGAAAGCAGATCCTAGACCAGCCCTGGAGGGCAGTCTCCAGATCTGGAGCCCTCCCCTCTTCCCTCTCGTCTCGACACTTTATCCTTTCCCATCAGATGGTGCAATAGGACATTTATTTTTTGGAAGTGGGTCGGCTGTTCGGTTTATGTTTTAGGGGAGCGAGGCTTTGTGCCATAGACATTAAAACTCAGTGCAGTCGCAGTGAGAGGAGTGAGCTGTTGTGATCTTTTACTCTGGTTTAAAAAAACAAAATGAGTAAAACATCAAAAAAAAAAAAGAATCACAAACGTCGACGTTGAAGAGAGATAGAGAGTGTAACTTACTAAAAGTCGGAGACATTTTGAATAGCACTTTTAAGGCTCTTTGCTTCTTGGGTGAAGAGTGGGGGTAGTTATTATGATTCTGGGTATCGCTTTTATTTCTCTGTATACAGTTGGATGTGTGATAAAATATATATACAGGTATTTCCATATTTGTGCATTTAGGTCTGTGTTTGGGTGTGTGTATGTTTTGGCACATGCAGGCAGTTTGTTAACACTACCAACCTCTTCTTTCACCACTCAGCAACATTATCCATAGTATATTTTTCATCCATCTCGAGAGACAGTATTTTTATAGTCAGCGTGACTATTTTTTCAGCCATCTAGACTGTTAATAAAGCCAGTTTATTCAGGACTATTCAGGATGCACAGAGTAACATGAACACAGGTGACCGAAGACTATCAATCCGCATCGCTCTGGGGTTCTTTAGGGCTGTTAGGTGTCAATCTGCATGCATGTGCAATCACATGCACACTTGCACACGCCCACACAGACATATGTGCATACACACACATGTATGCGTGTACACTGTATGATTGTGCTTATAAAAAACTGTCCTTACTTTGGAGAAGGAATTTTAGGATGAGCGAGGTGAGTGTTATCTCATAAAGCAGGCATGTTGACCATGTGCAATATTTCTAAACAACAGAAAAACTAAATATTGAAAATATTAAAGATCTAACACAATGCCTTTTGTTGTTGGCTTGTTTTTTTTTCTTCCTGTGATATATGTGAATGCAGTTTCCAGACCAGCATCTTCCCTGTTTGTAGTCTCACAAGAGATAGATGAGGTGATGAGAGATATTTCAAATAAATTTGACCACTTTTCACCGTTAAATCCCTGGAATACACAACTTCTGCTTCTCCAACTGGCTCTCGTGTGGAATATCAAGTGTTAAGAGTGCTTACTGGATTAGAGCAGCCTTCACATTCAGGTGTAAAGTGAGATGACCTGGACAAAGAGCCCTGGATACTCTACAGCCTCCTCATAAATCCAAGATAAACTCAATTGCCTTGATCAGCTGGGATTTAGGTGTATTGTATTCCAGTAGATGAATTAAACTGACAATAGTACATTTAATTACGGTAAAAACTTCCTGAAGAGCATTATGGAGAAGCTTGCATTAATTTCATCAGATTCAAACCAAAGTCAATGTATGTTAAAGAAATTAAGTTATAGCAGATTGGGTCAGTTTTCTGTGGTGGTGGCCACTTAAACTAGTTTAATCTTAAAGAGCAAGTCACCCCCTACCAGATTCTTACTCAACTCCCACTTCCTGTTTGAAAAATGCAACAAATGCTGTTGCCTAGCAGACCAAGAGGACGAAGCCGCGAACTCACACACAGACTCACAACGACATTGTGACATCATATGGTACCAGCTAACGTCCTAGGGTACCTCTTAGCCAATAGCCATGGCAGATTTAAATTCAAATACAGTGCAGAGTTTTTACCCGACAACGGCACAACACTAACAGTTTTAGGCAGAAAATTAAAATTTTAACTAAAATGCACTAAAGTGCTAAACTATTGACTTGACGTGTCTGCAGCACGATTAGACACACATTTATAAGTTTATCAGGAAAAAAGTTGATTTGGGGGGGACTTGCTCTTTAAATTAGGTTAATCTTAAAGAGCAAGTCATCCCCTACCAGAGTCTTACTCCACTCCCACTTCCTGTTTGAAAAATGCAACAAATGCTGTTGCCTAGCAGACTGAGAGGGTGGAGTCACAAACAAATACACACACACACAGGCTCACAGCAACATTGTGACATCATGCTGTACCAGCTAACCTCATGTATCACTTAGCCAATAGCGATGGCAGATTTAAATTCAAATGCAGTGCAGAGTTTTTACCTGAAGATGGCACAACACTGACAGTGTTATACAGAACATTTTAATTAGAACTAAAATGCCAGATTATTTACTAAGCGTGTCTACAGCACGATTAGACACTCATTTGTATAGTTTATCAGCAAAAGAAGTTGATTTGGGGGCGACTTGCTCTTTAAGATTATTGGCTGAGTTTGGACTGAAGTATGTGTTGAGGAGGGTGACATTTTACAACTAGCATACCAAATGTTAACTCAGAATCTGTAAAATATGTAAAAATATTGTGGTCTCCATCTTGAATTGGGTTGACTCAAAAAGTAATTAGTTGAAGGAGTGGAAACTATGACTAATTAAAAAACAATCGAATATTTCATGGATTCATTTTAATCAATATGTTTAGACAACTCTTTTCAGCTTACGAGGACTGTTAGTGATCTAAAAATTGTAGTTGTCTTGATTTCTAAGTTCCAGAGAACAAGCGCGAGCAACTGCTTTTCCAAACTCCATTTCCCATGTGGCATTGCGAGGTTTCTGTTTCTAGGTGTCTCGTAGCAGCTTTGAGCCCAGACAGCCGGCGGCAGCGGGACCACTGTTTTTCCGCGAGTCTTTACAAGATAATTCGCGACCGAGTATTCATATTAATTGGTAGTGAGGCTGAAAACAGTGGAGGAAACAACCCGGACCCTTGCTCAGAGATATGAGCGGCAGCGGGCGGCCCAGGACCAGCTCGTTTGCTGAGCCGCCAGGTATTCCAGGAGCCGTAGCAGCGCCCGCCGGATCAGCCGCTGCCGTGGGGAGCAGCACAGGAAAGTCCGGGGTCCCGCAGGCCTCCGGCAGCAGCTCGTCAGGATGCTCGAACCTCAAGCTTACCAGTAAGTTATTCGCTGTGACTGGCTCTTTGTTGAAACGTCTGTATTTGTTTACCTTAATTGTGTGTTTTCCGCCTTAAAATGACCGACAGTTTTATGTTTTTAAACCCGCTGGAAAGTGGTTGTTCCCGTCTTGTCGCTAACGAGCAACCCAGCATCTTGTGTTCTAGTTTCTGCGCGACCGATGGGTTAAAGCAGCCCGCCTGTAGTAAAAGCAGCTCACTGGGCGCTATTTTAACCCAACATTAGGTAAATAGTATGAAATTTAAATCTTGAGTCGGTAGTTGATGATCGGGGTCAGTTTGACTGAGTGAGCAGGAACCGGTTGTTCCTTGTGGCCGAGAACTTGCATGGAGGACTCTTGTGGTTCGTATTAGCATTAGCCGTCAGTCCGGCTCGCTTGAGGTTGGGTCAGGGTGGGACTAAGCCCGTCCACCAAGGTCACCTGTGGGGTGCAACCTTGGCAGCAGGTGACCAACACCTGGATGATGCAAGTGATGCTGACCCAGCCACCAAACTCAGGACCAAAGAGCTTGTTTCCCCAACAGAAATTGATCTACGGAACCTGCATTTATCACACGGGTGGATGCAGATGTCTTGTTCTGTGCAGAAGTTATGTTCATTTTCAGACACCGATGTGTCTCCTAATGGAGGTCAGCTCCAGTCAAAGCTGTGGGACCACCAGTCTTCTCCAGAGAGAGACTCTCTCTGTCTTCTCCAGAGAGAGACTGTCTTCTCCAGAGTCTAGGGTTGTCATGGTGTGAAAATTTAACCTCACGGTTATTGTGACCAAAATTATCACGGTTTTCGGTATTATCGTGGTATTTTTTTAAACGTGCTACATTTTCACACAATTAAATAAACCCTGTATATCAGGAAAATATTGTCCTCAGTTTGTGTCTAAATTTTGCCTAAAGTGTGTTATTTTGTAATTATGTTGTTTATTTGTTTACATTTTTCCCCTTTAGTCTTTAAAATACCAATATTTGCCCATAACTTCTTAATTTTTGTCTGTTTGATGTCATCATTTTAAAAATATTAGATCAGATGATACTCAGTACTCAAGTAGCCTTCTAATCAGATACTTTTTTACCCTTACTTGAGTAATAAACCCTATATCAGGAAAATATTGTCCTCGGTTTGTGTCCTTCCAGTGAGCTTTGCAGATGTGGGAAAATGTCATCAGGCAGTAATCGTTGTTAAATTCATAATTATTCTCGGAGAGAGACCAACTCTTATCTGCCCCTGGGAGCCCCGTAATGCATAGCGTCATTTCAACATGGCGGTGTCCGCGACACGGTTTATATGCAGGTAGCGGCGCTGCGGCTGCTTTATATAGCGACTCGTTGCATTCTCCCTCAACCCAAATCCTCGGATCACGCATTTTAGCTAAAACGCTAACGTTAGCTTGCCTTGCGTTGACTTTAGAGTTGTGGGTAATGCGTCTTCTCCCATGACTCCCCCTGTCTTCTCCCATGACTCCCCGTGTCTTCTCCAGAGACTCCTCCTGTCTTTTCCCATGACTCCCCGTGTCTTCTCCCATGACTCTTCCTGTCTTCTCCAGAGACTCCTCCTGTCTTCTCCAGAGACTCCTCCTGTCTTCTCCCATGACTCCCCCAGTCTTCTCCAGAGACTCCCCCTGTCTTCTCCCATGACTCCCCGTATCTTCTCCAGAGACTCCTCCTGTCTTTTCCCATGACTCCCCGTGTCTTCTCCCATGACTCTTCCTGTCTTCTCCAGAGACTCCTCCTGTCTTCTCCCATGACCCCCCCTGTCTTCTCCAGAGACTCTCCCTGTCTTCTCCAGAGACTCCCCCCATCTTCTCCCATGACTCTTCCTGTCTTCTCAAGAGACTCTCCCTGTCTTCTCCAGAGACTCCCCCCATCTTCTCCCATGACTCTTCCTGTCTTCTCCAGAGACTCCCCCATCTTCTCCCATGACTCTCCCTGCCTTCTCCAGAGACTCCCCCCATCTTCTCCCATGACTCTTCCTGTCTTCTCCAGAGACTCCCCCCATCTTCTCCCATGACCCCCCCGTCTTCTCCAGAGACTCTCCCTGTCTTCTCCAGAGACTCCCCCTGTCTTCTCCAGAGACTCTCCCTGTCTTCTCCAGAGACTCCCCCCATCTTCTCCCATGACCCCCCCGTCTTCTCCAGAGACTCTCCCTGTCTTCTCCAGAGACTCCCCCTGTCTTCTCCAGAGACTCTCCCTGTCTTCTCCAGAGACTCCCCCTGTCTTCTCCAGAGACTCCCCCCATCTTCTCCCATGACCCCCCCGTCTTCTCCAGAGACTCTCCCTGTCTTCTCCAGAGACTCCCCCTGTCTTCTCCAGAGACTCTTCCTGTCTTCTCCAGAGACTCCCCCCATCTTCTCCCATGACTCTTCCTGTCTTCTCCAGAGACTCTCCCTGTCTTCTCCAGAGACTCCCCCCATCTTCTCCCATGACTCTTCCTGTCTTCTCCAGAGACTCCCCCCATCTTCTCCCATGACTCTTCCTGTCTTCTCCAGAGACTCCCCCCATCTTCTCCCATGACCCCCCCTGTCTTCTCCAGAGACTCCCCCTGTCTTCTCCAGAGACTCCTCCTGTCTTCTCCCATGACTCCCCCTGTCTTCTCCAGAGACTCTCCCTGTCTTCTCCAGAGACTCTCCCTGTCTTCTCCAGAGACTCCCCCATCTTCTCCCATGACCCCCCCCCCCCCCCCCCCGTCTTCTCCAGAGACTCTCCCTGTCTTCTCCAGAGACTCCTCCTGTCTTCTCCAGAGACTCTGTTTGAGGCTCTTTAACCCTCCCACTGTCTTTGTGGGTTACCCCCGCGAGGAAAGTTGACCATTGAGCAGGATTGATGGTTTACCCCTTGAGGTCCACGTGGCAGGGGTGAGGTGCTGCTCACTCCTCACCCCTGCCCCGTGGACCTCAAGGGGTAAACCATCTTTCCTCGCAGGGTCACACCCTGAGAACAGTGGGAGGGTTAAATTCAGGTCTTTCCTTTGGCCTTACATGATCTCACTTCTGACACGTCACTGATTTAGTTTCTTTGTTGGAGGACAAGAGACATTTTCAAGAGACAGGACTAAACTATTTGACCACAAAGTGTTTTGAGCAAGAATTGAAATATCTGGTAAAATAAAGGACGTTGTGCTACCATTGGATCTGGTTAAAAGCAGTGTGGTTAATTTTATACCTAAACCTGTTTTTGTTAAGAACGAATCACTCGAGTCGACGCCTTTAGCAGAAACATGTTTTTAAATGAACTGATAGATAAACTAAATGATAATCTGCAGATTTAGAAAGTTTAGTTTTTCTGCATTCATCAGCCTGTTGGACCGTGCCATAAGAGGAGCTGACGTACCTTCTGCTGCAAGGATTATGCCCTGAGGAGGTCAAAGTTCACTCCTTTTTGTTTCCTCTGAAGTTTCAAGTCTGTTGGTTTGATGAAACTAGGAGATACCCTGAAGTCATGCTTCCTTGTTTCGATAAAATAAATTTGATATATCTATTTTTCTAGAAATGAAAATGAGGCTGATTGGTATAAATCAGACTTTTATTAACAACATTGTTGTTTAATTAACATCATTCACCGTCAGTGGAGGAGCTCCAGGATCTGTTTCTGGGCGATAACCTCACCGTTGCTGCTGACGGACGCTTCAAGTAAAGAGAGCACAAGATGCTTCTGTTTACCTGGAGTTTGTGCTGAGTCGTGGTTCAGTGCTGAGTCGTGGTTCAGTGGGACACAGACGGCAGAGACAATAAGACATCATGTTCTGTCACGTTGGACGTTTTTACTGCTGCCACATAAAAACACTAAAGATCTGGTTTTGTAATAAAAACCATTTAAATGCAGATGTGTGACATTATTCAACATCTGCTTCTAGGAAATATTAATATTCAGATTTTTATTTTTAGACCAGCACTTCCTGTTTCAGTAGGAACGTTTTACCGGGTGTTTTATTTAAATCGGTTTACCCCTCTGTACGTCAGTCACAAAGATGCTCCTTCTTTTAAACTCCTCACCAGGTTACACCCTGTTGATTCTGCTTTGTTGTTTAAAGTAAAACATCTCACATTCTGTAGAATCGGCCTGCTTCTAAACTCCTTCAAATCCCAAATTTATCTTTAAATTTTTAAGATTCAAAACTATTTAGAGAAAAACGATTGAATCTTTCCCTCGCTGCCAAACAACAGAAAGCTTAATGCCTTCCACGCCTCGTGTTTGGTGACACAGTGATAGAAGAACCACGGTAAGGTGTGTGTGTGTGTGTGTGTGTGTGTGGGGGGGGGGGGGGGGGGGTATTGTTTGTAACAGCTGACGTGTGAAGAGTTTGATTTTTGTCTAAAAGAAACAAGTCCTGCTGATGAGGGTTCTGTTGGCTTCTTGTTTACGTGACTTGTTCTACTCGTGAAGCCGGGCCAGAGCTGTGGCTGAGATGAACGTAGAAAATGTGTTTAAAGACGATATTTCCTGGGAGATTAGATGGAAGAGCCGACATGAGGACTCGGGTCCATGAAGGAGCTCTGACTGGTCTGTGCTGGGAAGGGAAGGGTTAAGGAGATGTTAACCTGTTGGCGTAAACGGCCGTCCGGAGGATGAACTCGTGACTCGGTCACTCACGGTTCCAGCTGAAACCGATACCAGCAGCCTGCCTGTTGGGTAACTCCGCACTCTGGTGACCCAGACCTGGACATGCTGCTCCATCTGCAACTGCCTGTCTGGTCTGGTTAAAGCACCGAGTATGTGGAGACGCTGCTGCAGCTAGGCGGTGAAAGGAGGCTCTGCTCCTAAGTGACCAGCGGTTGGGATGAACCAGAACTAATGTTGGACCTGCTGCTCTAACGTTCAGGTGAGCTTTCATTTCCACGTCGTCGCTAACAGAACTGCTGCAGGATTTTATCTACTGAAGCACTGAAGTAGAACAGGACAGGAAGTGGTCGTGGTCCGCTGTTGGATTAAACTCTGGACATCAAATTAGGATTATTTATTCCTAATTACACGTGTTTGCCATAGTTGTTCCGCGGCGTTCCTAACACGGGCCCACAGCGCTAACTGCTCGTCTGCTTTGTTGTGTTTCTATTATTGATTGTGGGACAGCAGCAGCTTAGCAGGCAGGGGGGTGTCCAGTAATCAGAAGGTTGCAGGTTCGATCCTGGCTCCGACCAGAGAATGCTGCTTTTGTGTCCTTGGGCAAGACGCTTAACCCACCTTGCCTGCTGGTGGTGGTCGGAGGGATCGGTGGTGCCAGTGCTCGGCAGCCTCGCCTCTTGTCAGCTCACCCCAGGGCAGCTGTGGCTACATTGTAGCTCATCCCCACCAGAGTGTGAATGGGTGAATGACGGTGTCGGTACAAGATCGGCTCGGGGTCCTTCGACTGCCGATGACGTCAAAGTACGGCAAACCCACTCGGACAAAATACACTACACATCTATACTGTTGGAAAGAATTTAGCAGTTTCGTTATTAAAATAATGTTTCTTAAGACGTAAGTTTGTGTTTATAATGGTATTTGTAAAATAGAACACTATTTTATTCATAATGTTGAACTCCTCTTTGAGCACATCCCTTGAAGGATCATAGGTATTAGCGACACCTGTGAAATTGTATTTGCAGGAAAGAAGTGTGTCCCGTTTATTGAAGTATTTTGTGTTTAGAGTTTTTGACGTCTTGTCCATGCGTAGTTCAGGTACGCTCATAGCTGCTAGCATAAACTCTGGAGTTAAAAGTTTTCTGGCTTTACTAAAATACCTGTCTGTACTTATTTGACTGATGGTAGTTTTACTTTCTATTAGACTCCAAATGTAATCATTTAGCACGTTTCTAATTCATAATTTGTAAGAATGTAATCGGTGATATTAGCATTAGCATTCCTATGGGTTTTTCCATGTATATTAGCATTGCGCTAACCACTCGCTGCCAAATTGCAGCCTTTGCGATTAGAAATTCTCCTTTTGTCACATCGCAATTTAATTGCACATGCAGTTAATCGTTCAGCCCTAATATACATGCAGCTCTATGCTAAAAGTGTATTTTCAAAGAGGTAATGATGGATTTCTTTGTAAAAGTTGTCCATCTTTCCAACAGAAAGATTTGCCTGGACCAACGTAACGTGATTACGTATTTCCATAAGGTTCATGTTCAGCCAATCAACTACTTAGACGCCATCGGCAGTCGACGGACCCCGAGCCGATCTTGTACCGACAACGGGTTGTGTTGTGAAGCGCCGTGGGGGGTTGTAGAACCCCACCTGGTCTCACCTCTGGCAGGAGCAGCAGGAGTTAATTATGACCCAAGCTGGTTTTGGTTAGGAAACATAAATCGTCATTAAATCTAATGACATTTAGCTGAAGTGAATAATGAGTGAAAACTCCCCATTTAGTGGTGAATGGACAGCTGGGTGGATCCAGAGCTGTTGAATACATAATTAGCAGAAATAATCCCCTTGAAGGATAAATGAGCCCAATCCCACAGAGTTGTCGGTGCGATTCTCGTGTCGGTGTGTGACGGCGTAATCCGTTTAAGGGCGGGCTCGGCCTATTTCTGTGATTTTCTCTTTAATTAGTCACAGTCGTGGACATGAAGTCTCCTGCTGCTGCTGCTTCGTCGGAGGCCTCTGTAGAAGCGACGTCGGTTCTCTGGGCTGGCCCAGATGTTCCGGCTGGTTCCGACTTCATTTCTTAGACCACGCTTTAAAATCCTTTAGAGCAGTAAAACTAAGTCCTGCTTTGCCTTTCTGACTGGTTATCCCTGCTTGTTGCCTAGGAGACAGCGGGAAGGTGACGACTGTTGTAGCTACACCGGGTCAGGGACCGGACCGCCCACAGGAAGTCTCCTACAGCGACATCAAGGTGAGAGTCCAACCAACAGCTGACCGCCAGCGTCCTCGTGAGCTTTAATCAGAAACACGGCTGACCTTCTTTAAATGCAGGTTTTTACGTTTGAACTGACTTTTCCTTTCTAAAGGGTTCGGTTGGTGCTTCATGACTATTTTCCTTTATGTTTTTAATAATTGTGATGCAAGTAATTCATAATTCTGTTGAGGATCCAGTCGCACTGATCGCAGGTGTTTTCTCTACAGCTGTAAGTGTTTGCTTGTGTCACCTGGGTGCTGGTTTCTCTGCAGGTTATTGGTAACGGGTCATTTGGGGTTGTGTACCAGGCCCGGCTCATCGACACTCAGGAGATGGTGGCCATCAAAAAGGTTCTGCAGGATAAAAGGTTTAAGGTGCGGCTCTGATTTATTAGGACCTATCTGAACCTTAGAGATCAGAGACTCCTCCCCTTTTGTGTTTCCTAATATGGAAAGCGTTTTTTTTATTTCTAGAATCGGGAACTGCAGATCATGAGGAAACTGGACCACTGCAACATCGTACGGCTGCGTTACTTCTTCTACTCCAGCGGAGAGAAGGTACCAGGATGACATAATTATAAACAGCATCGCCCTTGAAGGCAGGAGAAGGGAGGAGGACAATCAGGGACCCATGATGGGGTCTAAAGCTTCACATGTATACTCTTTGACTTCAGTTTGATGAATCTTTATTACAAGTGATGTAAATAAATTCACACATAGCCGGAGTCTAACATACCCAAAGCTAGAATCAGATCGCCAGCTCTGATGTTGGTTTTAAACCTGAATCTGGATTTAATTCCTCTCATTTCTGTGCAGAAGGATGAAGTGTACCTGAACCTGGTGCTGGACTTTGTCCCTGAGACGGTCTACAGGGTAGCCAGACATTTTAACAAGGCCAAGAGCATCATTCCTGTCATCTATGTGAAGGTACCGTCCCTGAGACGCTCCTCAGTCCTTCAGGTGCTCTTTAAACAAGCCTGTTGTCGGTTCTTTAAAAAACGTCTTCTTCCTGTGTTTGCCCTCCCCAGGTGTACATGTACCAGCTGTTCCGCAGTCTGGCTTACATTCATTCCCAGGGCGTGTGTCACCGAGACATCAAGCCCCAGAACCTGCTCGTTGACCCAGAAACCGCCATCCTGAAGCTGTGTGACTTCGGCAGGTAAGCTTTGCCCACGGATAACTCGCACATGTGTGTGTGTGTGTGTGTGTGTGTGTGTGTGTGTGTGTGTGTGATCAGTTCTAACTATAGATTTTATTTCTACTGCAGTAAAATGTGTTTTTTGTTCCTTGATCGTCACGTTTAACTTCGAGACACTTTCTGTGTTTCCTGTAGCGCCAAACAGCTGGTCCGCGGTGAGCCCAACGTGTCGTATATCTGCTCTCGGTATTATCGCGCCCCTGAGCTCATTTTCGGTGCCACAGACTACACGGCAAACATCGACATCTGGTCAGCCGGCTGCGTTCTGGCTGAGCTGCTCCTCGGCCAGCCCATATTCCCCGGTGACAGCGGTGTCGACCAGCTAGTAGAGATCATCAAGGTGGTCATCCGACAACAAGGAATCATTTAGTTTTCTAAAATATAACAGTGGTTTTATTAAAACTTCTCCATTATTTTTCATTCCTTTTTTTGGTTTCAGGTTTTGGGAACTCCGACGAGGGAACAAATACGAGAGATGAATCCAAACTACACAGAGTTCAAGTTCCCACAGATCAAAGCTCATCCATGGACCAAGGTAAAATAAACTTATGTCTGACTCTGGTTCTGCTGCTTCTGTCTGACTCTGGTTCTGCTCCTTATGTCTGACTCTGGTTCTGCAGCTTCTGTCTGACTCTGGTTCTGCTGCTTCTGTCTGACTCTGGTTCTGCTCCTTATGTCTGACTCTGGTTCTGCAGCTTCTGTCTGACTCTGGTTCTGCTGCTTCTGTCTGACTCTGGTTCTGCTGCTTCTGTCTGACTCTGGTTCTGCTGCTTCTGTCTGACTGGTTCTGCAGCTTCTGTCTGACTCTGGTTCTGCAGCTTCTGTCTGACTCTGGTTCTGCTGCTTCTGTCTGACTCTGGTTCTGCTGCTTCTGTCTGACTCTGGTTCTGCTGCTTCTGTCTGACTCTGGTTCTGCTGCTTCTGTCTGACTCTGGTTCTGCTGCTTCTGTCTGACTCTGGTTCTGCTGCTTCTGTCTGACTCTGGTTCTGCTGCTTCTGTCTGACTCTGGTTCTGCTCCTTCTGTCTGTCTCTGGTTCTGCTGCTTCTGTCTGACTCTGGTTTTGCTGCTTCTGTCTGACTCTGGTTCTGCAGCTTCTGTCTGACTCTGGTTCTGCTGCTTCTGTCTGACTCTGGTTCTGCTGCTTCTGTCTGACTCTGGTTCTGCAGCTTCTGTCTGACTCTGGTTCTGCTGCTTCTGTCTGACTGGTTCTGCTGCTTCTGTCTGACTCTGGTTCTGCAGCTTCTGTCTGACTCTGGTTCTGCTGCTTCTGTCTGACTGGTTCTGCTGCTTCTGTCTGACTCTGGTTCTGCTGCTTCTGTCTGACTCTGGTTCTGCAGCTTCTGTCTGACTCTGGTTCTGCAGCTTCTGTCTGACTCTGGTTCTGCTGCTTCTGTCTGACTCTGGTTCTGCTGCTTCTGTCTGACTCTGGTTCTGTTCTCCAGGTGTTTAAACCTCGGACCCCGCCTGAGGCCATCGCCCTCTGCTCACGGCTGCTGGAGTACACGCCTGTCTCACGCCTTTCGCCGTTGGAGGCCTGCGCTCACGCCTTTTTCGACGAGCTTCGCCAGCCGAACACGCGACTGCCCAGCGGACGAGATCTGCCGATGCTCTTCAACTTCAGCACCACAGGTAGAACCCAACAGTCAGGTTGTTGATCCGGGTTTGGGTCAGATGTTGTAGTTGAAACTGGTTGGATGATTTAATCATGACTCATCACTTTATTGTTCTGCAGAGCTCTCCATCCAACCTCAGCTGAACTCAATACTCATCCCTCTTCACGCTCGATCACACGCTTCCGTCCACGGTGGGAAAATATTATTGTTATAACTGTTTAGTTCAGGTCTGTAAACGGTTGTCTGAAGGGGAAATGTTGTGTTTTGTCTTAGCGAGAGTCAGAGAAATGTCTCCTGGGTGGATTTAAAGAGCAAATTGCAGGTTAAAAAAGTTTTTCTAATTCATATCAAATGCTGTCCAAAAATACTATTTAAAAAGCTTATTGTGAATATTTGGTTTTAAAGTACATAACAGCAGAGTTTTCTAGTAGAACCGGGCCTTTCTCAGCAAAGCTTGTTTCTAAATGTGAACCTCTGACGTAACCAAAGGGAGTTAGAAGCTGGCGCTGCCTCAGCTCGGTGTGGAGAGCGGCTAGTTTTAGGGTAGAGAGGTCATGTGATCCAGTCAGTGTGTGTTACTAGTGTTGGGTTGTGTTCATGTTGATAAACTAGAGTGTGTGAAGGCGGTACCGACTCCAGCCTGTCTGGACATCGAGTCCACGGGCTTCCAGACAAGAGAAACAGCGCCTCTATCTCCGTGCCTCAGGGCGTTTCTGCAGCTGAAAGACGGACTTCTGTAGCCCGCATCGGTCGGTACCGGGCCAGGGAGGTCCGCGCTGGGCTCCGGAGACCCGTGGCGAGGTTTAAAAAACTAAATGTGGATTTCTGGAGCTCAGATCACCGTCAGAACCAGGTCAGAACCGACCACTAGAAGAGACGCACGGCTCAGCGGACCAGCTGGTTTCTGGGTCGGAACCGGATCAGAACCGCCGCACCAGGAGAGGATGCACGGCTTTTAAAAATACCAGTTCGACTGTCTCGCTCTTGTTTGGGTCGGATTCTGCTCACAGAAGCCCGCATGAGCTCCAGAACCGGATCACAGGCGCCTCCCTCTCTCTAAGAGCTAAAGTAGGTTAGGTGAACGGATGTTAGCGAGCATGAGACCGCTGGCAGACGCTCATTAGTATTAATATGATATTAACTGACTGATACTACCTTGTATGGTACATAATAGTAATCTGTACTATATTGTGATGTTAGCACACAAGTTTAAGCTAACATGGTTTACTCACCAGACCCCCCCCCCCATCTCTCTGCTTTGGCCGATGGTCTCTCCCTCTGGTTTGTTTCTGCCCTCTGGGGCGAGCAGCAGACTCATAACTTTATGGTTCTGGTCCATCACGAGTATAACTGTAAACATTTAAAGTTTCCACGGTGTCGGAGCCGCATTATAATCTATATTTTTCACTGGATTAATCTAACAGGACTCCCTCAGCTGACGTCACTTGGTTTGGCCCAAAAAAAAACTTTCTCACAAAAATGACTCTAAAAGCCTAAATAATTTATGTTTGTGTAAAAAAATGTTTAAAACCGAGTTTCTGTTACGTTTCTCCAAACGTCGGTTCATGGGAGTCTCTAAGCTGCAACTTGCTCTTTAAGCTTCTGTGGTCAGATCGGTGTAATGGCTGTTGTCTGCCACCAGATGGCAGCATTTCACAGAAAAACAGACCGATGTTCATCTCCTCTCTCTGTTCTTCCTCAGATGGCACCGTCTCAGATTCATCCCAACATAGTTCAGTATCTGGATCTCTCAGCAGCATCTGAAGTTCTCTGTGCTCCTGCAAGCTCGACCTCCACACACACACACACACACACACACACACACACACACACACACACACACACACACACACACACACACACACACACACACACACACACACACACACACACACACACACACACACACACACACACACACACACACACACACACACACAGCTTTCTTTCATGCTGCTTGCTGTCCTGTTAATCTGTGTGTAGGGTCAAACCTGTCGGGGTGGGAGTGTTGGCGCACTGGGAGGAACGGGGCTGGTCCTCTGATGTAACTTTTAATCTGAAGTTTGTATTTATTTATTTGTCTCTAATGGAAATAATCATGTGATCACAACGTTGTCCCTTCTTTAATTTTCACCCTAGATATTATAATTATTTTTATTCGTTGGTGTTAAAAGACAGACGCTGCCTGGCCAGAACCTCGGCTCAGTTCTGTTGAATAAACTCGGATCAGTTTTCCTGCTGCTGATCCGTCACAGCTTTATTGACGCGGGTGGAGATAATCCGCTGCCAGCTAATCTGTGAATCCAGAACCCACTCAGTCTCCCACGGAGTCGATGGGTCAAAGAACCAAACGTTCCTCTGATCAGCCCACTGGTCCCAAACTCACCCGGATAAACGGATCTGCTCTTTAAACGATGCCCACAGAGGGGCTGGAACAAAGGCTGACAGATGGCCGTCCTCCTCGTGATCAGGCGGCCGCGAACATGTAGGCTCAGAGCATCAGAGGGAAAACTCAGCAGGACTTTGTTTTGGAATGAAGGTAAAACTCCCCAAAATAAAAAAAATATATTAATTTGATCATTTTTAACTTAAATTCACCGTTAATCAGCTGTTCACTGTGGAAAAAGTGCTTTTTCCTCCATGTTTTCCCGTGCTTTTAGGGAGTTTCTGAACATTTTCCTCAAGTCTGTTTTAAAGTTTGGACCGAAACAAAAACCGTTTAGTGTCATTTCTCTCCTCCGTTGTTGTTTTTTAAACCAGAGCAGAATAAATCCGACGGCTGAGCGCCGCAGACGGACTTGGGTCGGTGTTTATTTACGGACACGAGCTGAAACAGTCGCTTGTATAAATGTAGACCTTCTAAATCAGTGTTAGCACTTTTCTACACCTGGAATCCGTGTTTGGAGGCGGAGTTTGAGCGAGGAGCTGACATCAGGGGGTGCGGTACCTGCAACGTGCCGGCGTCTCCGATTTCATTTTACTGTTAGTGTTTCAGGACAGGATCAGGAGCCTGTTGAAGGTTATGTTCGGAGCGCAGAGAATGTATTTGTGTGTGTGTGTGTGTGTGTGTGTGTGTGTGTGTGTGTGTGTGTGTTTTAGGGTTCCTGGCAGCCAATAATCCCGACGTTAGTCAGCGGTACACTTGAAGGTTTGTGGTAGATTTGTTACGTTTCCTCCACCTGCTGTCTTTAGTCGTCAAACCTTTTTTTTATCTGACCTCTGATATTTTATTACGAGGAACTTCTCTGCATCAATCCGCCTCCTGGTTTCTGACCCTCGAGGTTACTGCCGCCCACGTTTTGCTTTCCTCACAGCGTCGAGTCCAATCCGAGGGATAGGTCGTCTCCACGGGGTTCCGTGGCGTTCACGCTCAGAGCCGTCAGACTTCCTGTAGCAATGAAACGGCGTGAAAATAAAGGAAATCCCGCAGAGAGGAACCGCTCTGGGCTGATTCTCAGAAGTCGTTTTTTCTTATGGCACATGTAAATATCACTGATTTTTATTTTCCTCCCGTTTGTGTTTTCTTACAGAGTTTCTACCTGAGCTCCATCCCTCTGTCGGTGAAACACGTCTTAGTTTGTGCATTTTTATAAATAAGTTTCTTTTTTCACATGTCAAAATGTAAATACTGGAAAAAAAAAGAAAAAAGCCACTCTTCATGTTTGTGGGTGAGCTCTCTCTCTCTCTCTCTCTCTCGTTAAAACTGTGAAGCTGGGCGAGTTTCCTCCTTCCTGTCGGTCCTCCGTAGACCTGAAACGTTCCGTCTGTACGTGACCGACTAGACCAGGACACGTCTGTGTTTGGGATTTTTACTCGGTTGAGTGTTTATTTGTACTGAAGGGAATCGTCTCCCTGCTCTTCCTGTACGAACAGACTTTTTCTGAACTTTCAGTTGTTTTAACGCAAAAGAAAAATCTGGTTCCCTGTCAGGTGAGACAGGACAGACGTTTAACCCCTTGGATCAAGTTAACAGAATCCTTTATTTTTTAATTACGCTTCCAGCACAACTACATGGGTTGGCTGAATTACCCACAATGCAAAACAACCTTAATCTGATATTTGAACCACAGATTGAGTTGGAGTGTCTGAGCTTCTCTCTTATAACAGCAGTTTTCTGACCCGTCTCACTGGAGCTAGCGGTTCAATAAGCTACAACCAAACGCAAACATTTCACTTTTCTCCCTTTCAGAGTGTTTTTGTTTCTTTTAACTATTTCTGTTCAGTATTGAGAGAAAAGTCTTCAGTCCGTAAACCCGTAAATGTTCTGTCCTGGAGAAGTGACGCGTCGGGGGGGAGGGAGGGAGAGAGAGAAAACACAAACCTGTCTCTGTTCTGTGTACTTATATTTACTGTAATAAAGTGGTGAAACTGTGTTTGAAGCTTCCGTGTGAATTATTTCCTTTGTAAACAGAATTTATTTTGTTTTTAATCATAAAAGAACATAACCCTCTGCAGACTGTTGCGTAAAGTTCAAGATTTGTTTTTAGTTTGGATTTCACTTGGAAGTTACTATTACACAAAAAGTAAAATTAAGATTTTGTTTGCTTTTGTTCAGAATAATAAACCAAAACTCAACAGGGCAAATGGGTCGTAAAACAAAGGAGATAAACTATAAAAGAGACTAGTGTCAATGATGAAGTCTAGACATGTTATTTAAACTATCGCATTTAAAACAACTGGGTGAATAGATGGAAATGTTCTAAACAATTATGTTTATAATTTAAAATAATAAAAAAAATAACTTGACAAGTGAAATACCAGAATAAACCCCTTAAAATGCGGAATATTCGGCTTTAAATAATCCATAAAATAAATGTATTCATCAAATTAGTGCCTTTATTTTTCTTTGTAGTTCCTCTTTCGTCCAGCTGGAGGCGCTGTGCGACGGTTTCCACTTTAAAACGAAGCCAACTTCCGGTTAGCTTAGCTTTGTGAAAACGAACACGCTAGGACAACGGAGTCGGTTCTGGAAGGTAAACTCCCTTAAAAATAAAACCCATCCTCGTTGAACGTAGTAAACTTTTGGTGATTTAATTATAAACGATTATGTGCTCTAAATATTGAATCGTTGTTGACGAGGAAGCGTCGCATCTTTTAGCGAGATTAGCGTCTCTTAGCTAAAACTTAGCAAGGCGTCGCCGTATGAAGCGAGCCTTATTTAGATTAGAAAATGTTTCGTTGAACAAGTTGGATTTTATTCATTTTTTACTTGGGAAATCATAAATATTCAGTGTTTGTAATTACAATGTGCTTTTTGCGTACGTAGGCTTCTTCAGCTATTGCTAGCTGGTGTTTGTGTTTTGACATTAAGCTAAAAGTAAAATAAAATAAGTATTTCTAAACAAACTGCATTTACAAACTCTTAAAGAAAACAAATAGTTGGGTTTATACTGCTGGAGTAAATTCTAGAGTGTCCCAAACTATAAAATCTAAACATTTAACTCTAAAATAACAGATTTTAGAACACATCTCATGTTAATTTCATGTATTGACAGTGTTTTTTTACATCAGCTTTTAAAAATAATTTTTAGATCCTGGCTTTTTGCTGAGCTCTTTTTACTATTCTGTCCTTTTTAGTGTTAGTGATTCTGATAAACGGTCCACATTTAGTGCAGAACTGTAATTGTAGCTTGAAATTAACCTTAAATTACCAAAGGTGTTTACACTTCTGAATAAAAAAGTCTTGTTTTACGAGTTTTCTCAGCTCAAGCTCAGGCTTCTTATGTGTGTTTGAATATCTTTGAACTTTTATTTGATCTTTTTGAATCATGGAGATAAATAAATTTAATTTCTGAGTAGACAAAATAGTCTCTAAGTAACAAATAGTTGTTGTATTGTCCAAATGTGGTCAGATATGTGATGTGATGCAACAACAAGTCACCGTTCTTCAGTCAGTAGGTAGAAACCAAAGGGCTCTGGGCAGGTGTGGCCCAGATACCACGTGATGTAAATATCAGATACTGGGTGGGTAGGAGACTCGGCATAATTAGAAGCTGACTGTAATAAAAAAAAAATCAGGAGTTTAACAGAATTTTTTCAGTTTGCTACAAAACTCATTTTTGCTCAGTAACTAGTCTCGTACTGAAAGGAAAAGCTGAATCGTCACAGCGGTTTATGTGAGACTGGTTTAATTACATGGTTTAATTACATTAATCCCAAAAATGTATTTGTATAAATCACTTAAATAACCTTTTTGTTCATCAGAATAAACAATGGGATGTCTGCAGAAGACGTGACGGTTTGTTTAGCAGTTTCATTTATAAGATGTGAATTCTCCCTTCTCAACTTTTATGCACTTCCTTCATTTTATGTATTGAAATATATACACGTGACCCAGGTTGAGTTGTGTGTGTTTAATTTTGGTTTTGGAGAGTTTGGACACATTTCTGTGGATATGATCCTTTTATTTTGACAGATTTTCAGGCTTTAGCTCGCCTTTCTTCCTCCTGCAGGTCGAAGCTGAGGGCCATGGCTCGTGGGCAGCAGAAGATCCAGTCCCAGCAGAAGAATGCCAAGAAGGCAGCAGAGAAGAAGAAAGGCCAGGGCGCTGACCAGAAGACTGCCGCCAAGGCCGCGCTCGTCCACACCTGCCCTGTGTGCCGGGTTAGTCAGGAATCTGCTTTATTTTCTGATTGTAACATGATGGAAGTGGTTACGCAATAAGATGTGATATTCCATATAAATATGAATTATCAATCTTATTGGTATTTGAATATTTGATACAATATTACCTGCAGGTAAATGCACAATAACTCAGTCGGGATGTATTTTATAAAATGAATTTACTATATTTCTAAACTAATGATGATGCAGAAGAACATGTTGTGATGAGTGATGGTTGAAGCAGATAACTGAGACAATGAATGGAATGATGGAACATGAGTGTCAGAAACTTATGATGTCTGGGTTGAAACATCAGTCTGACTTCATGGTTTAACAAACTAGATTATTCATAAAACCGTCCAACGCCCGTGTGCATGGTCTATGGACCCTTGTGGTGAAGGTCCTCGTGTGATCCCAGAGGTCAGAGAGGTCGGTACGGACAGACTGCCGGTGGCGTTGACCTCTGAGGTGCTGGAGCTGTAGCTCCGCCCCACATACGAACCCGTCTGCTCTGAGATAGGTTCCGGGGGACGGCAGGAAGCTGGCGTATCTATCTAGCATCTGATGCAGCTTGCAAAGAACCTTTACAGTATGTTCTGATGGGAAACCAGCTTCAACACAAACAGTTGTTTTCCGCTTGGTCCTAGAGCTCAACCAGTGTCAATTTAATATAGAGTAATGTTGTTTTTGGATGGTAAAAAGTGCAGGGGTCCAAACTTGACTTTGGAAAAAGTGGGGGGGACATGCCCCCCCCCCCCCAAAATTACGTCCATGACCCTGATGTCAGCGTGGTCTGACCGTATGAGTGTGAGCTGTTAGTTAAAAAGGTGAAATACGTGGCCTTTGGTACCTTACACACATCTTCCATCAGGCAGAAATAACACGAATTATTGAGACCATGTGACGTTTCTAATCTTTTATTGTCAGAAAACATCTGCAAGTGAACAGATTCATCCATGAGGAAATCACATCAATAAAGCATCAAGCTTCAGACTTTTAGTGACTCTGTTGTAACCTTGAGATGACATCACTTACTTTTCTGGTGTTTTTAGACACAAATGCCCGACCCGAAGACCTTCAAGCAGCACTTTGAGAGCAAACATCCCAAGTGCCCGATGCCCCCCGAGCTGGCCGACGTTCAGGCGTAAACACTCCGGTCTGGGTGAGTAGCGTCTACTCTGGACTTAACCGGGCCTTTTTGTCCTTCCACAGAAATCACAAACAACTTCATACTGCTTTTATTAAACAGTGTTTAATATAGCACCTCCCAGGCTTCTACAAACCCCCCAAGGCACTTTACAACACTGTCATAAAGCTATTTGGATCATCGGTGAATCGGATGAAACGGGAACATTTCTTCTCCTTCCTGTACTTTGCATGCTGTCGCCTACATATGTCCATAATTAAGCTATGACCAGTAAAATTTTATGTATTTCATTATGTTACTGGAAATGTTAACATTTAATTTCTACCGCTAAAAATGTAATGGTGACATTATGTTCACAGATAGACGTGTTTGTGATTTACATGCTACAGTGACTTGCCGTAATCCTGCTGCAGGGTTTAGCATACAGCTAAGAAGTTTAGATATTCTTAGTTTCACAGCCGTCTAGGGTTGTCACGGTGTGAAAATTTAACCTCACGGTTATTGTGACCAACATTACCACGGTTTTCAGTATTATCGTGGTATTTTTTTTAAACGTGTTACATTTTCACACAATTAAATAAACCCTGTATGTTAGGAAAATATTGTCCTCAGTTTGTGTCTAAATTTAGCCTAAAATGTGTTATTTTGTAATTATGTTGTTTATTTGTTTACATTTTTCCCCTTTAGTCTTTAAAATACCAATATTTGCCCATAACTTCTTATTTTTTGTCTGTTTGATGTCATCATTTTAAAAATATTAGACCAGATGATACTCAGTACTCAAGTAGCCTTCTAATCAGATACTTTTTTACCCTTACTTGAGTAATAAACCCTATATCAGGAAAATATTGTCCTCGGTTTGTGTTCTTCCAATGAGCTTTGCAGATGTGGGAAAATGTCATCAGGCAGTAATCGTTGTTAAATTCATAATTATTCTCGGAGAGAGACCAGCTCTTATCTGCCCCTGGGAGCCCCGTAATGCATAGCGTCATTTCAACATGGCGGTGTCCGCGACACGGTTTATATGCAGGTAGCGGCGCTGCGGCTGCTTTATATAGCGACTCGTTGCATTCTCCCTCAACCCAAATCCTCGGATCACGCACTTTAGCTAAAACGCTAACTTTAGCTTGCCTTGCGTTGACTGTAGAGTTGTGGGTGATGGTCACGCAGATGTGTCATGAGATTTGAAGCGTTGCTGCCTTTCACAGACACTTTTTCTGCACGTGCTGCAAACAGGATAGCCGTCTTCTATCAACTGTCCCTCGTCATTCTTCAGATATCCAAAAGATGCCCGTACTTCCCACTTTGTCTTCTTTGAGGGATAATAAATGTCCTGAGCGCTGCCGTCTCCTCCTTTGGCCGTTATTTCAGCTTTAGCTTCAAGAAAGTTTTGGTTGTAAATAGAGCTGAAACAACTAATCGATTTAATCGTTTATAATCGATTATTAAAATAGTTAACAACTTTTTTAGTCATCGATTAGTTGTTTAATAATCATATTTTACCGCATAAAGTCTATTTTTTACCACAATCTGACATCGGTTACAATCTGTTAAATTTGCCGCCAGTGTGTGGCAGTAATGAGCCACTGATCTACCAGTGGGGCCGTAGAAGAAGAAATTAGCCAATAAGTGCCCTCGGTTTTCATGACGTATCACGTTAATGACGCGCATCTTGCTGTGAGAGATGGCGGATCAACAACAAATACGGAAGAAAAATAGAAGCGACAAAACAAGAGAAACCCCGGACAAAAACCTCACGAGTATGGGAGCACTTCACTAGATGCCTTGAAAAGACCGGTGACCTACAAAATATGCAAAAACCATGGCACGACGGAAGCACGACGTCCCTAAGTGAACATTTGAGACGAAAACGTGGGGGCTGATGCAGCAGAGGAATGTCCGGTAAGTAACAGAAAATAAACAAGCTAACGCAGATCACATTTGGGACTTAGTGTTAGCTGAGTTCGTTATAGTGGATGTTAAACATGTTTTTTTTTTTTTTTTTTGCCGCGTCAGTTTACGGTGTTCTACTTCTGATTGACTAGATGCAATCGTGAATCTCCTCCGTGTTGTGAATCATGCGCTTGCCAAATTTAGCACGTCTGTTTATAAGAATGTTCTCGTTAAGAGAAAAACGGCACAAACCCATAACTATGTTCCTCATTCAAAAAAGGACAACTCCGCGGAGAAAAATATACAGACGAGCTGTGTCCAGGTGAATATAATGCGGCATAGTTGTACACTTTCAATTTTTAAATACAGGAGAAATTCAGAAAGTCCTTTTTTTAACTATTAAAAGGCTGTTTTACTATCTAACGCTGTAAAACGCCTCACAACACATTTTTGTCAAAATAAATGATCACTGTATATTGTTAATTAATTCAAATAATGTAATATTGATTTAGTGTTGTAGTGTGTGTGCTGCTTTATTTTATATGTGTACTTAATTCAGGTTATTTGTGTTTCTTATGCAGAAAAAAACAAGCAACGATGGACAACTACATGGGGAACAAGACACTCACCCCCAGCAATGCATACCACTTACAAACTCTATTCCAGATTCTACATTATTTTTTATGGAATTTACCTCTTATATTTTGATGCCAAAAAATTATTCTGGACTGATATTTTGCACTGTTTAGCTCATTTTACACTGCTGACTGTGGTCATGTGCAATAAAATAGATTGCAGTCAACTGCACAATTCTCTTATGTTTTTCTTTTTCTTAACTGAAATGTATTCATCTCTTGTATAGGTTAAATAGCTAAACAATAACAAACCGATTAATCGAAAAAATAATCGACAGATTAATCGATTATGAAAATAATCGTTAGTTGCAGCCCTAGTTGTAAACAACAAAGTGCGCATGTGCCGCCGGCAACTTCAGCAGATGATACGGTGGCTGGTAAGGGTCACCGCACCTACACCGCAGCCACGGTAATCCACCGAGATAATATAGTTTTAAAAACAAGACGATTATTATTATTGTCAACTTTTCTACCAGGGTTTACCGCTACACCGGTTACCGTGACAACCCTACAGCCGTCGTGAGCCTGCTACCCGCTAGCATTAGCTCATGTCGTTCCTCATCACAACACCGGCTTTCTCTCTCGTTCTGATCTGCTCGGTTGCCTCCTACACATGACTTGTGGCTGTTTTCTTCACATGAATAATCTTGTTAAACTGTTAGGATATCTGTTATTTCACTCTGCTGGTGGTAGCACTAGGGTGCTAATGCTAGCCGTGTTGCTTTAAAACACCCGCGTATTTTAGCGACAAATAGGTCCTCTGGTACCGTGAGGAAGCTAACGGCTACTAGCGGAGCTAACTGTTCAGTGGGTTTGTCAGTGTTGTATGGGATATGAGAGCTGACATCACTCAGAACTACGGAAGCCCAAAGGTGGAAAAAAGACATCTTAAGTCAAATCTCCCAGCTTCACTGTTTATCTGCAGGAGATGTTTGTAAAACTTGTTCAGAACGTGCGGCCATATTTGTTTTAACTGAAGTTTTCGTACATTTAGTTATCGGCTCTTCACAAATACTCAGGATTACCGTGACTGAGCCCTTTTTATGTGCATTCTGCGACAGACTAATTATTATCTAACTTATGACTTCTCTTGCTTGCAGGTTCACGGATTAGACGCTACGTTTCAGCCCATGAAGAATGCTGACGTGCACTAGGACCTGTTGGTACTCGAGCGTGTCCGTATTAGTGTGTGTGTACGTGGAAACGGGGCAGATGCACACCAGCAGCCTTTTTAACATTTATCGTACACTTTCCTTTCTTCGGGTAAAAAGGTGAAGTTTATTAAGAAGTGTCATCTGCTGATTAAAGTTATTTGCGACTAGAGAGGCTGGAAGGACTTCCTCACTCACACACGTGACTCTGCTGTTTGGCTCCTTTTGGCAAATTTAAACACGGTGCAAAGCTGTTCTGATTTCACTTAACCAATGAAATGGAGTAAAAGTGTTGGTGTCCAGTTTACAACTTTACCTCACATTTAACCACAGCGACTGACTTGGGTCCAAAAGCTTGTTGTCCTCGTCTGTAGATTAAAGAGATGCTTTGTAACCCAGAGGGTAAGTTATTAAGTACTGAGTGACCACGGTCAAATTTACTAGCTGGCAGAAACCAAACTTGCTGTACTGTTTTTTTTTTAAAGCATTTTCAAAAATAAAATGAACAATTTATTTGAAATGACTTCTTGTCCTTGTTAATTGTGTTAACATGTATATAAAAACCTTTATACCCGCTTGTCCATGCAGTGTGTGGGGAGGCTGGTGACATCAGAAGCCTCTTCAGCTACATCTGTCGGCTGAAGCAGATCAAACACGCACGGGAAGAAGAGGAGGAACAGCTACGTAGAAGAGGAGACGACTGGACGCTGAAAAAATGGCAACATTACATCCTCCGTACGTAGTGTAACAAGCAGGAAAGGACGGAATGATTTCCTACATCATAAAGCAAAGAGTTGAGAGTTTGTTTGACGCAGAGGCATTGGAATTTACACCTCCCATTTCTGCAGAACAAATGATTGCTGCTGAAACCCAGGCCGGGGAAAAACAAAAACAATGCAACAGGCAGCCATAACAACCAACCTCACCAATGCTACTCTTTCAAGTCCACCTGATGTAAATGAACTAAAGCATTACTATGGACCAGGAACAAACAACAAAGCCTGTCTGCTTTACCAAAAAGAGAAATCCCTGATTTGGATGGAAATTCACTACAATATTCATCTATATAGCCTTTGAGAATGGAGTTTAGTGCAATACAAAAGGCCACGCAATGGAATTAGTAAGTAGCTGCCAACAAATGAACTCTGATCATGGCTGAAGGAGCACTATGGCAACAAACCAAAGATCACAGCTGCATTTAAGGACAAAGCCTCTCGTGGCCTCCGATGAAGTAAAAGCCCTCCAGATGCTGCAGTGTGATGGAGGAGGAGCAGTATCTGCGTGATTTGGATATGCCCACAAATAACGCTTACTTAGGGGTTAGGCAGTGATCTGACCACACCACTCTATCTTTATTCTGCTCTCCCCACCTGTTTCAGGATCCACTGATTTCCCTCTTTCCTGTTCACTCTCTTAACATTTTTAATCTCGTTTGCCTATTTTTTTGCTCATTTTAAATATATTTTTAAACATTTTCTAAATGCTTTTTGATATTTTTACATTTTTTGTGAAGCGCCTCATGATTTTTATCTTGAGAGGCGCTATAGAAGTGATACTTTCTTCTTCTTCTGGAGGTCTGCAGGGTACTTGAAACTTTCCAAACATGCTGAATGTGGGACTTGTTTCCCTGCTCAGTTAATCACCGGTGAGGGAAAAACAAATCAAAGGGACTCACAGAGAGCTGAGGGTTTCTCACGTACACACAATGAAGGGTGACTAGAGCCGAGGTGAGGACAGTGTGGTGGCATGAAGACTGATCAACACAGGCAAGCAGGTACTGACATCAAGTAGAGTTGCATAGCTTACCCGGTTGACAATCTGCCTTCCGTTTTTTTTTCTGCTCACATGTTGTTCAGGATCAAAGAAGGGATTTATGTTTATGTTTATGTATTTAGCAGACGCTTTTGTCCAAAGCGACTTACATTTCTAGAGCTGATTCACAGCAGCTAAGTTGTAGCAGCAGGTCTGAGCTGGTAGAGCTGAGGTGAGTTGCAGCAGGTGCTCAGTGTAGCAGCTGACACCTATTAGGTTGAGTTGCAGCAGGAGCTCACCAGTGGTAGCATACCCACACTCAAAGGTGAATGTCCTTGTGTTCAGATGAAGCTACTCCATTGGATGAGACACCTGGGCTACAATGGTGAATATTATTAAAAAAAACTTCCATATAAATTCAGAGACCGATGGAAGAGCCACACCTGTGAACTGCAAGAAAGACATCACAGAAGACATACTATACAATGTGTCCTGAAAATGTGTAAAAAAACATAGTACAGTATGAGTCCTGAAAATGTATAAAAATAAACATGCTAGAGTATGTGTCCTGATACTGTACAAAAAACAACAGTATGTGTCCAGAAAAGGTGCAAAAAACAACAGTAGGAGTCTAGAAAAGAAGCAAAAATAATAAACATACTATACTATGTGTCCTGAAAATGTGTAGAAAAACATACTATAGTATGTATCTTAAAATGTAGAAAAACATACTGTAGTATGTGTCTTTAAAATGTATTAAAAAACAACATACTATAATATGGGTCTTGAAAATGTATAAAGAACAACATACAAAAGTATGTGACTTAAAAATGCATATGAAGCCAAGCTATAGTATGTGTCATGAAAATGTGTAAAAAAAACATACAATAGTATGTGTCTTAAAATGTATTTTAAAAACATACTATAGGATGTGTCCTGAAAAAGTATAAAAAAAAAACAACATACTATAGTATGTGTCATGAAAATGTATAAAAAGCCAAGCTATAGTATGTTTCCTGAAAATGTGTAAAAAAAAACAACATACTATAGTTTGTATCTTGAAAATGTAGAGAAAAAACATACTGTAGTATTTGCCCTGAAATAGTATAAAAAACAACAAACTTTAAATGGTAAAAATGGTAAATGGCCTGTATTTGATATAGCGCCTTCTAGAGTCCTGGAACCCCCCAAGGCGCTTTACAACACAATCAGTCATTCACCCATTCACACACACATTCACACACTGGTGGTGATGAGCTACAATGTAACCACAGCTGCCCTGGGGCGCACTGACAGAGGCGAGGCTGCCGAGCACTGGCGCCACCGGTCCCTCCGACCACCAACAGCAGGCAATGTGGGTTAAGTGTCTTGCCCAAGGACACAACAACAGCGACAGACTGAGCGGGTCTCGAACCTGCGACCTTCCGATTGCGAGACGAGCACTTAACTCCTGTGCCACCGTCGCCACAACAAACTTTAGTATGTGTCCTGAAAAAGGGGAAAAAACATACTTTAGTATGTGTCCTGAAAATGTATAAAAATACTATAGTATGTGTCCTGAAAAAGTATAAAAAACTAAATACTATAGTATGTGTCTTGAAAATGTATTTAAAAAACATACTGCTGTATGTGTCCTGAAAATGTATAAAAAACAACATACTATAGTATGTGTCCTGAAAATTTGTATAAAACAACAACAACATACTACAGCAAGTGTCCTGTTTATGTATAAAAATAAACATACTGTAGCATGTGTCCTGAAAAAGTATAAAAAACAATATACTATAGTATGTGTCATGAAAATGTATAAAAAGCCAAGCTATAGTATGTTTCCTGAAAATGTATAAAAAAACAACATACTATAGTATGTATCTTGAAAATGTAGAGAAAAAACATTCTATAGTATTTGCCCTGAAAAAGTATAAAAACAATATACTTTAGTATGTGTCCTGAAAATGTGTTAAAAAACATACTGTAGTATGTGTCCTGAAAATGTGTAAAAAACATACTGTAGTATGTGTCCTGAAAATGTATAAAAATACTATAGTATGTGTCCTGAAAAAGTATAAAAAACTAATTACTTTAGTATGTGTCCTGAAAATGTATAAAAATACTGTAGTATGTGTCCTGAAAAAGAATAAAAATAAACATACTATAGTATGTGCCTTGAAAATGTATTAAGTAACATACTGTAGTATGTGTCCTGAAAAAGTATAAAAACTATACTATAGTATGTGTCATGAAAATGTATTAAGTAACATACTGTAGTATGTCTCCTGAAAAAGTATAAAAAACAATATACTATAGTATGTATCTTGAAAATGTAGAGAAAAAATTACTGTAGTATTTGCCCTGAAATAGTATAAAAAACAACATACTATAGTATGTGTCTTGAAAATGTGTAAAAAACATATTTTAGTATGTTTCCTGAAAATGTATAAAAATACTATAGTATGTGTCCTGAAAAAGTATAAAAAACTAAATACTTTAGTATGTGTCCTGAAAATGTATAAAAATACTATAGTATGTGTCCTGAAAAATTATAAAAATAAACATAATATAGTATGTGTCTTGAAAATGTATTAAGTAACATACTGTAGTATGTGTTCTGAAAAAGTATAAAAAACAACATACTATAGTATGTGTCATGAAAATGTATAAAAAGCCAAGCTATAGTATGTTTCCTGAAAATGTATAAAAAAACAACATACTATAGTATGTATCTTGAAAATGTAGAGAAAAAACATACTGTAGTATTTGCCCTGAAAAAGAATAAAAAACAACATACTTTAGTATGTGTCCTGAAAATGTGTAAAAAAACATACTTTAGTATGTGTCCTGAAAATGTATTAAAACATACTGTAGTATGTGTCCTGAAAAAGTATAAAAAACAATATACTATAGTATGTGTCATGAAAATGTATAAAAAGCCAAGCTATAGTATGTTTCCTGAAAATGTATAAAAAAACAACATACTATAGTATGTATCTTGAAAATGTAGAGAAAAAACATACTGTAGTATTTGCCCTGAAAAAGAATAAAAAACAACATACTTTAGTATGTGTCCTGAAAATGTGTAAAAAAACATGTTTTAGTATGTGTCCTGAAAATGTATTAAAAACATACTGTAGTATGTGTCCTGAAAAAGTATAAAAAACAACATACTATAGTATGTGTCATGAAAATGTATAAAAAGCCAAGCTATAATATGTTTCCTGAAAATGTGTAAAAAAACAACATACTATAGTATGTATTTTGAAAATGTAGAGAAAAAATATACTATAGTATTTGCCCTGAAAAAGTATAAAAAACAACATACTTTAGTATGTGTCCTGAAAATGTATAAAAATACTATAGTATGTGTCCTGAAAAAGTATAAAAAACTAAATACTATAGTATGTGTCTTGAAAATGTATTTAAAAAACATACTGCTGTATGTGTCCTGAAAATGTATAAAAAACAACATACTTTAGTATGTGTCCTGAAAATGTGTAAAAAAACATACTTTAGTATGTGTCCTGAAAAAGTATTAAAAACATACTGTAGTATGTGTCCTGAAAAAGTATAAAAAACAAAATACTATAGTATGTGTCATGAAAATGTATAAAAAGCCAAGCTATAGTATGTTTCCTGAAAATGTATAAAAAAACAACATACTATAGTATGTATCTTGAAAATGTAGAGAAAAAACATACTGTAGTATTTGCCCTGAAAAAGAATAAAAAACAACATACTTTAGTATGTGTCCTGAAAATGTGTAAAAAAAACATA